TTTCTAAGGCACCCTTCGATTAGACGTCTTGCGACGCGCACAATGAGGACTTTTTGCCTGGTCTGGGTTATTATTTCGGGTCGACGGGGAGCTCCTATTCGCAAGACGTAACACCTGGTGGGGCACGAGCCGTCTAAGATGCTAGCGACCCGGAACAATACCGTCTGCGGATCCACGGCCATTGTGACTTCTCGGATGGCTCAGCACGCGACAGGAGGATCGCAAATCGTCAGATGGCCAAGCACCCCCACGCGCCTACATCGACGTGTGTGTTTACTCTAGGAAATGTGCCGTCGGCGGCGATTCCAAGTCATGTCGTGACAAGGTGGCGTATATAAAAAATGTCACAGATGCTGCTTTGTTAGTTATCCGATAAAAATTATTGTGTGAAGTATGTTCGTTTATTGGATGGATGCGTAAGCTGTATCCAGCTTTAAGAAGACCATTTTTATAGCAGTTATTGTAAAGACAAATACACAACCAATTTTATAATTCGGAAAACCATATGTAGATAATTGAAGGCCAGGGTGATAGTACGACAAAAAAAATTATGAACTATATGTCTATCCTCGTTTTCGAGATACAGAGCGACAAAATAAATTTTTTTAAATAGAATGTACGAATGTACGATTGCCAAACGGTGCGAAATATTTGTATGAAATTTGGTATTCCGGGGTTTTTAAGGACGCCAAATACGTTGGTCTAATTATTTTGTATATTTTATAGAGAGAGCTAGTTATGCTACATTCGTATTACATTTTAAGTTCTAATTTTTTTGAGTTTAGGTATTTTAGCATTCGGGCTCCAATTTCTAATGTACAATTTTATGTTCTAAAAATAATGTACTCTTGTTAGAACTTCCTAATGTGGACGGTTTTCGAGAAAAATTCTTTTAATTGAACTCTTATAATATTACGGTGTAGAAAATAAGTGACTTTTCTCAAAGTAGGCTTATGTCAAAACTTATTGATGGATGTCTCACAAACAATGCATACATTCTCAGTAATATCTTATACTCTAATTAACTTTATATCAAAATTTTAGTGACTGTATTTTTAGTCATTACTAACTGCAGTCACTAACAATCACTAAAATTTTGATATAAAGTTAAGAGTTTAAAAGATTACTGAGAATGTATGTGTTGTTTATGAGACATCCATCAATAAGTTTTGACATAAGCCTACTTTGAGAAAAGTCACTTAGGTATTTTCTTCACCCTGATATTGTAAGAGTTCAATTAAAAGCCTTTTTTCTCGAAAACCGTCCACATTAGGAAGTTCTAACAAAAGTACATTATTTTTAGAAAATATAAGATTGTACATTATACATTGGAATTCTATTTAAAAAATTTTATTTTGTCGCTCTGTATCTCGAAAACAAGAGGAGATAGACATATAGTTCATAAAACAAAAAATTCTTATTTTTTGTCGTACTATCACCCCCTGAATTTACGGGAGGTCTTTCTGAAACACCCTGTATAAGACGAACATATGTGGATAATCCCAATAAAAAAATAGAGAGCTGCAGACACAAAAAATAACTCTTAGTGTAAATATGGAAAAACTTTCGTCTCTTGAAAATTTACATATTGTCTTAATGAGAAATACATAGCTATAAAAATTAAACCAATCTAAATGTGTTTAGTCTGTCTTTCTGTTTATTTATTAATAGCGAGCTGGTTCTTTGCTTTTCTCAAAGGGGTATTTTGATAACTGCAAAAATATGTATCATAAGCCCGTCTGAAGAGCACTTCTTGAACAGCCGCTGAGCTAAACAGACGTCTTTAGTTTTATTTATTCATACACCAGGGTCTTCGACTTCTGTTTATGATTCATTAATAAGTGGACATTTGCGTTTTGTTGCTATTAAAACGTATCGTAGTGGCAACTACCTAAAAGCTACTACTATCGACCGTTGTTGGCACTGTCAACTTAGCAACATAAGATATGACAGAATTAAAAAAGTTTTCAAAACTTAATTAACTAAAGTAAATTAAATTAAAGTTCAATGAAAATAGCCATTACTCCCCCACTTTAAAATCATTTTGAGGAATTTCTATGAAATATGATAAATACAAAAGTAATTGTATGTCATCCTATTTTCTTAACATTTGTTTGTTTTAAATTTTGCTTTATGTATTTATTTTTATACGTAACCATTATCTAATAAATTTTGTGTTTTGAAAAAAAGTTTTGAATGTTATTCTTGCATTTGGTATAAATTAAAAAAAAACTAATAACCAACGCATTTACATATCCCCACTTTCCCTCTCTAAACGAATTTTTTTTGGGCATATTATCATTATTTTATTAGGTTAGGTTAGTTTATCCAAGTAATATGACAACTGTAACTATTACTTTCAAAATGCCTTTCCTGAAAAATTTATAAACTATTACTCATCCCCTTCTTGCACGAAGGCCTTCAATTGAGAACTTCACGGAAGGATAACTATTGGGAACTTTCTTTCATAAGTAACACGCACATGCACATACATAGCACATATGAAGAATGTTCTTTTTCAGTAAAAAAAATTTACCATCTGCAACGTGAGGGTTGATCTTTTTTCCGGCGTTATGCTTACATTAGCGAAATGCTAAACAGAACAACCCTTCGCAAAAATTTTAACTCCTACTAGAATGGGCCTTTGACCCCGTGAATCACTAGAAAATCCTGTTACGTCCACATGTCCGACCAGTTGAGCTTCGCGCTTTATATACGCACATACACATATTTCCACATTTATTGTTCAAGAGCCGGCGGTGGCAGCAGATGCGAGCTCGCGTATTTGTGTTTTTTTTATTCGTAATCGCAAGCAGTGTTGATTTGCTCCAGGTGCATGGTCTCGCCTGCACATGTTGCATCCTCCGCGGACATTTAAATCTGCCATTTTTAAAGCGACTCTTTGTCTTGGCACGTGCCTCCCGAAATGGGAGTTCGCGCGGTCACGGTGAGCTTTAATAATTGCAGTACAGAGTTGAATACTTAACAACATGAGTAATAAAAGAATAGGAACAATTTCGAAATTGGTTTATATTTGACTTCTCAGGTTGTCCATTTCGCGAAAATATTTTAACAAAGTTTTGAATTATTAAAAATAGATTTATTGTTAACATATGCATTTGCAACAAACTGGTATTTGAGTATTGATCTGCAGAGGCTTTATACAACGCAAAATTGCAATAATTTGAATCGTCCTATACGTATTGGCGAGGTTCCGTTCCTGCTTAATATATGGCAAAGCATCGGGGTAGACGTTTGATCGCAGTCTCTGACGATTTTACCCTTTTTTAGATTGTCGCCGACTGAAGCTGATGACCGACTTGTGGTCTGACGGTGGTACCTTGGTTTTATCTCGCGGTTCATCAGTTCGAATTCCATAATATTCGGAAAACTTTTCAATTTCCGAAGTTAGAAACTGAGTCGAATTTTCTATTTTAGCACCGCGTCGTCGGCGGTTGTCCTGAGCATTGGCCTCTGGCGGTATTGTCTGTTGCGGCTTGTTTGAAGACGGCTGGAAGCTTTTTAGGAACTTCGACGGAAATGGGAACTTAGTTGAAAATAATAATTTCCGCGTCACACCTTCTACTTCTCGTAGAAACTAGTTTGGGTACTCTCGGACGTATCTCTACTAAAGAATAATAAAGTTCTGTTATCGGAACTACTGTAACAATTTACCGCGCCAGTCTTTCTGCCTCAGGTGACGAATGCGGTTAATACCAAGAAAATCACGCAGGGGTCTTCTTGGAATTCTATCTCAACGAATATCGTACAGACTATAAGTATGATATCAGTAATTCTTATATGTATAAAATTTCATTAAGATTAGTGAATTCTAGTGCTGGAATTTTTAAAACTTCTGCGAGCACACATTCACACGCCAACAAGTACAATTAGGTCTTATCAAAAAAATTGTCCCCGCTTTTCGGTATATCGTGTCACGGATCTCCAGCTGCCAGGTAGGGCCAAATCGCAACCCCACATATTTATAGAGGGTGGTATTTGACGCAGTGGACACGAATTATGCCACATCTGCTCGTTATGGCACATATAAAGTGATATCAAAGCCTTCCAATGGACAACTACACGCGGCAAATGGTAATTATTGCATCAGGTCGTTTTCGCCATTGTACAAAATAAAGTACCTCTTCACCTTACTCATTAAGTGTATTGCAATAGATGCCGATTTTTAATTGTTATAATATCGTATTCTTTAGTTTTTTTTTAATTGGCAGGAGCAATAGTAAGGGCATTTAATGTGCAATAATTTACCAACATATAGTATTAAGATTATCATTTCCTATAAACATGGGTCGAAAATTATGAATCGCGGTATGTTGGACATTCATTAAATGCCTTGACGAACTACGTTTAAACTATTTAAAAATGTAGTCAGGAGTGTCCCAAGCAAGATATAAGACAATATTTTCAAATGACGACAAAAAAGCTAATCTTGATTTATTACCACAAAATACTCCGATTTCGAGAAATTCATTAAAAAATTTTATTCAATGAAAACATAAAAATATCTTGATATATTTTGAAATATCGAGAAATTTTAAGTTAGAAATCAATATTTAAAATCACAAAAAAATATTAATTGCAAAGCTAATTTCGCTGTTGACTGTTGAGTGAAAATATATCCGAATCGATATCAACTATAACTTTGTAAAACTTAGTTTGCCATTTGTTGAAATATCTTGTAAACTAAATCAAAAGTTTACAAAAGTGAAAAAAGTTCAAGAAAAAAACGGCTGTTCCAAAACACACATTTGAACCATAGGCGTGCATGACTGCACAAAAAATGTTCCACGCTAAGTTAATGCTTAACTAATAAACCAACAGAGTTATTAATAAAATGGAAAGTACCATTCTTTTCACTTAAAGAACCTATGATTAACGGTTTGACCTACATTTTAGTAACACTCTGTACTATAAGAAACTAAATTATATGTTAATCTCGAGGGTGAAGTTGGATTAATCAAATAAAGAATTGTAATTACCTGTAGAGCAGATCGTCACCAAAGTATGGGAATGTCTTCTCAGTGTGTCATTATCGATTCCCCAGGGACACCTTTGGATAACTTGATCGATAAAATCGAAAGGCGTAACTCCATTTATGTCCCACTGAAGCTTGGATAACACCAAAACTTCCCATTTCTGTAACACAAGTATTTTCCTGAACTATGGGCAATTACAACATAGTAGTCACTAAATTTTCAAAAACGTTCTTATTTTGTATACACAAAGTATTGCTCATGATTAGGCGATCCTGAAAATTTCAACTTAATCCGTTGAGCGGTTTTCAAACTATATGATTTTTAAAATGCAAATATTTGTCTCAGCCGTGGCAGTGCAATGACGTCACCGCATGGGACGGTCAGCCGGCTTGCCGCTACTTCCAGATGAGTTTCTGCATCTACAGAATGCTTTAGCGTTTGTGCATATTAAATTTAAAAAATGGAAGCAAATTTCGTAAAAGCAGATTCTTCTAATTTGCCAGAAGTAGGTTTGTTAATGATTATGGATTTTTTTAATAAAAACCACGACTTTATCAGTGCTGAGATGAGAGGAGTGAAAATGCAAAAGTTACGTTATGTTCTTTAAAGTACGTTTGAAGCGAAAGTTTTGATGTTTTTGTACAATAAGAATAGTAAATAAGAATAAGGATTTTACGTTTAATCGGACTAAACCGTTTCTGTCAAAGGTTTCAAAGATTTACCTAATCAAATACAAAATTCTTATTACTATTTTTATTCCCATGGAAACTACATAAAATCTACCTTATATCTTAAAAATATAGTAATAATATAATATTTATTACGTATTTTTATATAAATACTTAACTTAATACCTATAGGTATTACAAAAAAAATAACAATGGAAAAGGATACAAACGTATTTATTATATACCTAAATTACGCAGGGTAGTTTTGTTGCTTTCAAAATAAGTAATTTTTCAAATAAAATATATTAAAAAAAAATCAAAGTAGACTAATAGACTATTGATTTTAGATATGCACGACATAATTATGAGGACATTATTATTTTCTTAGGTGTCTAGTGTCTAGTGTTCTCACTCTAGGGAAGAATATGTACAATATTTGTAATTTTCTTCTGTTCTGTGTCTTCCATATTGCTAACAAAATTCGGTATCTTAACGTATTCGATCGAAACTTAACAATCAACTAAAACCCGACTATCCGACTGATTGACAACACGCGTAAGCATACCGCGTCGGTTTCCCATGCGGTGACGTCACACCAGCCGGTTCAGCGGATACTCAGCGCGCCAGTTTATGATTTTTTTTGGATGACTTGTAGGCGGTATAAAATTTTTAGATACCCTTTTTATTTGACAGGATTTGATAAGATAATAATGATTATTAATATTTTTCAATGAGTGCAACCGTTTTATTTACGATATATCAAAACCAGAAATTTTAGAACATGAAAAATACACTGTTATTCGTTATTTGAGACCTCTACATGTGTTTTAAAATTTAAATAGCTGGTTTAACCAAGGAGCTGACTAAACCAGCCCTTGTTTCGAAAAAGGCTAGCCGGTGTTAAAAAAACACGCAACAGTTTTCCACCCCAATATTTTGTTTTCTGTCTCGAGCACCACAACTAGGCGAAATCATTTTCATATTAATATGTAAATGTGCGTTCCCTGCAACAGTAACAGCTTTTCTATTTCACCTAGCCCAACATCAACGAACGCAGACACGGGCATCTCTATGAATAGATAATTTGCAAGAGGCCTTCCTCCGAGGAGGGTCAATTAATTCGCCGATGTAAGCTAGACGCCGCCGATCCACTTGGCGGCGACCTTTTCTCCTCCTCATTTCCCACAGACTCGGCTCAGACGCATTGTGAGCACCACATTGTTCGATGACCCTCTTTAACGGCGACTTCCCCTCAAGAAGGTGCGTGCGGAATATTGCGTTCCGATATAGGTTCTCGAGATTCGCACAATAACCGGACGCCATAAAATTTGTCATGGTGGGCCTCGGGGCAGATCAGGAACCGCGGCGGACGGAGCTGACCGCAAGGGGATCAATGTAACCGCGGCGATGTCCCACCGTTATTTGGCAGGACTGGATCGTTCCCACTGACGTAATTATTGTCGCAAATGCCTTTGGTTAATCAAATTGGTGTACAATTATTAATTCATTTTACAACCAATTTCATTAACCAGACGTTATTGTCACAATAATTACAATTAGGATAAATTATCTACCGCAATTTATATCCACAGTTCCCCAAACATCTTGAATTAAAATATGTGTTATCACTTTCTTTTTTTATACAAATTTCCGTTATCTTACTTGGAGGTGTGAATCTACATATGAAAGTATGAAAAATAGAACATAGGAACCTAGGTCCTAAAATGCATCATTTTGCACGGGCAAATGTTATACAGAGAGATCGAGAATGATTGACCGGATTCTGAACGTACCCTGTCTCAATTGCTATCAAAACTGATTTCCGTTTGCTAAAATTACTTTTTTTTCCGTGCAATTTCATGGTGTTCTGTGGCGATTTCACAATTTGACGTTCTGTTCATTGGCGCACGGATTTTTTGGCTTGAATATTATTTTGTAGATTTTGTTGTTACCTGATATATTTTGCGACATTATAAAACAGTATTTTTCAATACTACAGTTAGAGTAGGTGGATATTATACGTGAGTAATTAATTTATTGCGTATGTTGTTCTCTAACCTAATCGGTTTTTTAATTTAGGTTAACATGGCATTTTCATTAGAACATGATAAATTTCTTCTGGAGGCCTATTTTCGTAGTGGACAAAACAATGGTAATGGTTGGAAATATTCGATGAATTCGTGTCATTTACAATTTCAAGAACAATTTCCAAATGATGAAATTGATTATGAAATTTTTTCGAGACACGTGAAGAGATTAGTGGAACGCTTCCATAACACTGGAAGTGTTTGTAGAGGAAAATCTCCAGGCAGAAAGTCTATTCTTACAGAGGAAGTCTTGGAAGATGTTGAAAACCGCTTACGAGCTAGTCCAACCAAATCACTACGTCGGTTATCTGCTCAAACAGGTACTTAATAACAAATATTTATTCTAAAATTTGTATCATTATTCCTAAATTGTTTATAGGAATATCATATGGATCATGCCATAAAGCAGTAAAGAAGTTGCATTTTCATCCTTATAAAGTTAGTGTTGTGCAGGAACTACTTCCGTTAGATTTTGGAAAACGTGTGCAATACTGTAATTGGTTTAACGAAAATCTGAATGACGACGATATTCTAGATCTAACATTTTTTTCTGATGAAGCGTGGTTTCATTTAAGTGGGTACGTAAACTCCCAAAATTATCGCTCTTGGAACACAGAAAACCCTAATATTTTGCGTGAAACAACTCTGCACCCTATTAAACTTGGTGTTTGGGTAGCTATGTCACGTAGAAGAATAATCGGACCATATTTTTTCCGTGAAAATGTAACTGGGCAGGTATATCGGCAGCAAATATTGTTACCATTTTTTGAGGAACTTCACGACGATGAAATCCATCATGGATACTTTCAGCAAGATGGCGCAACAGCTCACACCTCTAACGAAACTTTAGAGTTGATTAGAGAGTATTATGATGATCGAATAATTAGTCGAGATAGATGGCCACCACGTTCTCCTGACCTTACACCCCTAGACTATTATTTATTTGGTTTTTTAAAAAATTCAGTATTTGCTCAACGGTTACACACGATTGAAGAACTTCAAGAGGCAATTACAAACGAAATTAGGAGTATTACACAAAATGTTTTACAGAATGTATTTAATAATATGAAAAGAAGAATTAATACCTGCTTGAACAACAATGGACATCATATTGAACATTTATTGTAAAAATATAGATATTTTTATGGATTTTATGTAATTTTAAGGTAAAATATTCAATAAAATGTGAAAAAATTCCAATTACTCTGTTATTATATATTGCATGTAACTGTTGTTTATTGCTCTCGGTCATACAGACAATCCTACCATCTAACATAATCAAGCACTTCCAACTGCTTGCATTTGCTTGAAGCAAATTTTTTTAAGACACTTTTCCTGAATTTCGACAGCTAACTAAAATGTTCAGCATAAATTTTTGGGCTGGATCGCTTGCGCTGGATATTCAGAAGTGTGAAAGCAGTAGCTGCAAAATAGTCGTCTTATAAGCATACAGCAGTTTGCTTTGATGAAAAACAGCAGCTTGCAGCGTATCGCTGTATAGCTGAATCGTCTTAGATGCCAAGAATGTAGCCACAATAGTGCTTCTGTTTTAAAATTAACTCATAACGTTTTAAAAATAAAATCGCTGAAGCACTTACAGTCGTTATTCAAAATTAGCTACATCAAACTTTGATTTAAAAGTTTTTCTAATTGTAAATGAAATAAGAATTTTGGAAAAGTTAGGCTAAACCTACATTTGATTCTGTCATCCTCTTTAATAATAATAACAATAATAACATTTATTGGTCCATCAGTATTGCTTAATTTGTGAAATAACTTTGATTTTTGTTAAATAATTGATATTTTTATTATGAATTTCCATTTTGACAGTAACCTAATTTATTTGACGTTTGAACGTAATTATTTGTTTACCATTAAAATCCCTCAACCTGCGCTCATGATTCTAGTATTGGTATCAAAAACTGGTATGCCGCACATCAAAAATCAGTATGAGGCGGCACGGTCAATCATTCTCGATCACCCTGTATTTCTTAAAAGCTTTAACAGTACATCATTAAAATCAATCAAAATCGATAATAATGAACCGCTCACTAATTTAATAAACTTTCACAGAGCCCTTCAGTTCTTTCTTGATTTGGATCGTCTTTTTTCAGCCCTTAACCGTCCTCTGTTACTATAAAATTAGTCCCGCTCGAATAACTTCTGAGCTATTGAGCGTATCCTTCGGTTCGACATACGGTCGACATCTTAGCGCGTAAAGGAACGAATTTACCACCTTGCGCCCTTTCATCGCAACAAGGAGGGTCCCCAAAAACGGCAAGAATAATTAATTACTCTTAGCATCATGAATGGAACACCACAAAAAAGGCTTAAGTGGCCGATCGTTAGATAATCGTGAAGACCATTTATTGATTCGTCTTGATGTCGGTGAAGGTGTACCGTGAAGGGGTTGATTATTAGGTAATTTAGTACGTTATTATTTAGAACAAGACGGATGGGGGAGGTACTGGTAGCAATACGGAAGTCTCACGGTTTTTCTTCGAATGTAATCGTAGGTCGAAGGAAACGAAAAGTGGAAAAAATGTTTATATTTAATCTATAGCAAGCATTTAATATTTGTTCCTCATATGAATTGCACAAGTAGTACTTGTCAAGTACATATAACAAAACCAAGACGAAGAGATATTTGGGAACTCATTAGTTCGACTGTACCGTAGGAAATATTTTTATGCTCTAGTATAATCTATCTACATACTCGTAAATGTTTTAGTACGCTCTGTTTCTTACAGTAGTCTTTCTTATAGGAGTCCTCTTTTTTCACTTCAATTTTAGATACAGTAACACTTGTACCCAGATTACTAAACTGAGTTATCTTTTGGTTTTATGCCAATGTGTATTGCTTATTTTCTACTATTTCACGAGAAATTAAAGCTTCACAAGATTTCAACTTAAAAGAACGTCAAAATATGAAATGTATAAGAGATTATTACTTTTTTATTAGTTTGAGGTAAAAACTGAAACATCTGCAGATAAAAAACCCTTACTTTCAGTTATCCCAACAATTCGCAGGTCCCCCAGGTTAAATAACATTGATTGCAACCTTATTCCCATGGACCTACATAATAACGTTGGAGATCAGGTCCCTGAATAACAATCTAGCAGAAACCATCACCTAACTGTGAGAAAAGCGTAACGTCCTTTGTAAATTCTGATACGGGACCGTTTTCTATGAGGCATTATCTCACAAAGGGAGCTAGTAGGTAAACCGGAGGGCTTCCAAAAGAACCGGAACTCGTCGAAATTCCTCGGTCTTCCCATAAGATCTGCATATCAACGTATACGGGGCGTTACTATGAGTATTTTCTAGTACGTATCGAAAATTAAATGTAGATGAGTGTACAAACTAAATTCGCGGTTTGTATTTTTTTAGAAAGGCACATTGCAGTACAAACAAAAATCACTTCTCTATGATTAAATTCAAATAAATAATAAAAATGGTTCAAAATTCACCCATGTTTCGAAAATAATTCGATAAATCTTTCAAAAAGCTTCATACAGTTTCTCCCGAAAATTGGAACCGCAGACAAATAACCCCAGAGAAGCTACTACGCAGATCAGATCAAAAGTCATCTGCCATGTAAGTCTTTACGATATCAGTTGGAACCGCATAAAAACATTTAACTCATAAACTCTACGGAATCTATAGGCGTCCAGAAAAATTTTGCCCTGTTTCGTCTAGATATTCTATATTCCGAGCTATATTCCTATTCCTATTTAGTTGACGATATTCTCTATTCTTTTGTAAAAAATTTTCCCGAAGTGCAACTATATGTTTTATGTTTAAACCATATTGTAATACATGTCGTAAAGTATCTAAAGATTTATAATTATAATCAGGATAATCGCTTAATTTATCTCAAATTATGTTTAAAGTAGGATCTTTATTTTCTTTATACATATTATAAATTGTGCGCCGTATTATATCTCTGGTAAAATCGTCAATATTCTTTAATTTTGTATTTTTCCGTTTCCTCTTTGTACCGTGATTAATAACGCCTCCTTCTTTAATTACGCGACAAATTGACGTTTTTGATATCTTAGTTAATTCGCTAATCCTTTCCTAATTTCTTTATCACATTGTTCACTATTTTCTCTTTTCAAACATTCATGTATGTTTAAAATAATAGTTTGTTTCGACGCTTTCGACAAAAACCCGCTTGACTATTTGTGGATTTTCCCGGGTTATTTCGTTATCTTCCATTTCAAAGGGTCTCCAGAAAGCCATGCTAAATTACTAGATAATTACATATATAATATTTATTTTAATAACTATTACCCTTTACTGGTTACGATATGAACAAATAATAATATTAACTATACTATAATTAATATTATGTATTATACCAACAAACAACAACGCCAAGCACTGCTTTCTATTGCACTGGCAAAACCAAGTGAGAACAGCGTTCGACACTGAACATATTATAGAATACCATGCAAAAAATTATTCACGACCTAGTGGACCGATACAGGTTTGCTTGACGACCAGCGTGCCGCCGTCGATTCTACATCAGGCGGACTAGTCTACCAATACCGGACTCGCCCAATGGCTATTCGAGTATAAATTACGAGACAGATAATGGCTAAAGCACAGGAAGAAATTTCAAGAGAAGTGCAGACGGTCCTGTGCTCTAAGATTCACAGGTTCCAATTGATATCGTAACAACTATACCAGGCGATGCTAACAACGCACGCAACAAAGCGCGAAATCGCCACCCGCCGCTCAGGAAAATTTTTCACGCATGTTTCGAAGATTTCCCGTCATTCCACTACGAGGTCATGATTGCCTCCATAAGTCATCAGTCGTATCAGACGCTGTTGACCACGCGTGCCGCTGATAGCCCAGAGGCCACCCACAGCGTAGGAAGGCGCGAAAATTTTCACTTTTCTTTCGAATTTTGGCAAATTCCAAAAAATTCTAAACTCGCCTTAGGGTCATAATTAATCAAAGCTAAAGAATAAAATTGAATCAGTTATCAGTTTTTTATAAAAACTAAGAGCATCAATTAAAAATGATAGCTGAATTTACCAACATATTTAGTTTCTTAATTGAGGAAATTATTCTTCACTTTTTGTCGAACTTGTGGCAAATGCCATGCCGCCATGCCCATGCTTCATAAAATGGTCATAAGTCGTCCCCCAGGTGAAACAATTAAAAATCCTTTTGTTTGCATTTCAAGAATCGCGATGTCCATCGGAGGAAGGACGTAACAAATTATTCGACGAATTTCAAAACAATACACCACTATGCGACAACGATATTGTCTTAGACCCTACATCCGGACAAATCCTGACATTTCAACTTATCTGGAGATCTTCCTGACCCGACTCGTGCGTTCCTATCCTAAGGGTCGAGTAATTATTTTGATTGTTGTTTTCCTCAAAAAGAATGCGTTGTCTTACCACAAATTACTTAAGTATCGGCCAAAGGGTGATCAGGCACCTTACATCCTGTTAGGTAAGACGATATCCTTAATATTTCAATTTTGATATCCTTCTCATTTAGATCATTATTGGTCATTGCTACTATATTTTAAATAGAAAATGGATATTCTGTTATAAAAAAAAGTTATATTTAGTCTTACCAGCTTACCTGTTTTTTAATAATACAACAATGAATTCTTCGGTTAACAATTAGTTGTATCGTTTCAGATTTTATATAGTTCTTGGTATAGTGTTTACGAAGATAGTTGAAACCTTATAAAAACTAAAAGTCGGCATCTCTTTATTGTGCAAGTCGGCATCTCTTTATTGTGACCGGGCACAATAAAGAGATGCCGACTTTTAGTTTTTATACGGTTTCAACTGTCTTCGTAAACGCTATACTTGGTAAATATTTTTACCTTTTTTTTATTTAAATTCGACATAACGAAGACCACGACATTTTTTTCTCTATGAAATTTGGTATAATAGCTTTGCGAGGGATTCTAATAAATATGATCGTTGCAAAAAGAAAGAAAAAAATGCTAGTCTAGTTTTTAAAATTTTGAAAGTATACAGAGAAAGATTTAAAAAATTATTAGCAGTTCTAAATGAAAAAAAGGAGTTTTGGAATCTCAAAAAAATGAAGATTCTGCGACCTTGTTCTCACATAAATAAGGACACACCATAGGCGCCGACTATGGAGGGGGAGGGGGAAATAATTATTTAGTAAATCATAAATAAAATGTGGTTTGCAAAATATTGAGCCCGGCTTACTCTCTAGTGGTATTACGTAGGGAAAAATTTACATTGCAAACTTTTACATTACACTAAAAATTAAAAGATATTCTTTGGATTTTAAACTATCTAGAATGCCAAAGTAGCTTTAAAATATTTATTATTTATTCTACTCTAAAGAATGTTTTAAAAATTATGTGCCAGTCATATAAAAAATAAGACTAAAATCTCCTATCTAAATCCCCTCTACTTTCGTTTCAGGGTATTACACACAACGTAGCCATGGTCAACCAAATTTCGTCAACCAGATTACTAAAAAAAATTTGTAAAAAATGAGAAACTAATAAACTATATGTATAAGAATGGAATCCCATGTATGTAGATACAATCTTTTTTCTATATTTTTGGAAGACAAGTCTTCCCAAGACCAAGAGGATCTATAACACATATTTTTTAAACACCCTGCATATTAGATCTAAGAGTAATTTAGAGGAAGTAGTAACTTACTTCAATAAGCTCATGACTGACACTATAGTCCGTGTAGGCTCTAAGTAACCCGATCGTCAACATGTTCGAGGTCCTAAGTTTAGAGGAAATCAGTAAACAAGCAGCACCTAGGAGCTGCAATTGCTGCTTCTTAATGTTACATACACTTAGGAACCTATCCATGAGGTTGACGGCCAGTGGAAATACTTGGTCTTCAATCATCTGCTCCTCACATACCTACAAATAGATAATTAAAATCTATATTGTAGTATTGTAATGTAATTAACTGTCTATTAGCATCTTAATTTGAGGTTAGGGAGCTGCCCATACAAATAAGTAACTATGTAGACTTCATTCTTTTGGATGAAATAAATAGTTAAATGTCTTCTACACACCTAGTTATTTATTAAAACAATAATTTAAATAGGAGGTAAGTTGCAATTTATTTAAAATTTTTTTAAATTTCTTTTTTCCAATGATCTAATTCAAAATATCTAACATTCTTTTAAATGTACTATTAATTAATTTACTATTAAAAAAATAATAAACCTAGGTATAAGAGACGAAGTAATGACTAAAAGTACTTACTTCCATCATCCACGTAGTGACAATTTTTCTCATATAGGGCTGCACCTCGGTTTGCACCCTACTGAAGTAATTAAACTTGGGCATATATTTGAATTCGTTGTTTAGCAAATTCTCTAACACTCTATCATCGTCGAAAATGCTCCTGTCCCTTTGAGCGACGCGAATATCGTCCAGATTCTCAATGCATGCAAGATCCATCTTTTCACACACACTCACAACTGGTAAACACGTTGCCACCTTATCCTAATAGATAGAAGCACTACTACCCTATTCTTCGGATTGATGCCGACTACTTGTCAACGCAAGCAATAAGCAACAACAGGTCGGTTTGTGCGGCTGAAGAGCCCTTCCTGAGGCATGCGCTGTGACTTTTAGGGACACCTGGCTGGTGAATCCCATGGATGGTGGGGCGAAGCGGATTAACTTATACAATCATACAGTTTATTATTTGTACTTGGTCCTATATAGTCCTTGTGCTTCTGCTTCGTACACATCGTCGTAGTCGTACTACTACTACAACTACCAGTACTAGCACTAGGTACCTTTTGAGTCCTACCTTTCCCATATATTGAGCTACTTATGGTCTACCTGCTTTGCTGGCATTTCTGACATCTGCTACTTTTTTATATAGAAAGGTGTTTATTATGGATATTGATTACATGTTAAATTTTTAATACCTACATTGTCCAGCGAAAGAGAACCTACTTAAACAATATACTTAACATAAACAATGGAATTAATTGTAATAAAATTACAATAATACCTACACGCAATTGATTACATTATTTTTGTTATCTAACATTTAATTAAGCTTTTTGTCGGTTGTATAGGTATTCGAAGTTCGACTCTGAAGGGTAATAATAAAGCACTATCTATATTCAATACTGGTTTATTACATCTTTTCCAGAAATACCGATAATATATTTTCAGCCCGTTTTATATGCCATATTTAAAATGTTAACTATATAAAATCAATCTCTAGGTAGCGGACACACATTAAAGGTTCTATTCTGCAGGAGATAGGAAACATTTTCATATAATAAAAGAAATACTGGACCAATGGAAATCGGCCCATCTCGAAAAATTCTGTGAATATCGAAAAGCAATTAAGTTAACTATTGTAGGACTTATTTATTCACTACTATAGTTAATATAGTTGAGTAGAATAAGAATTAACTAATCAAAAAATATACTATATCCGATCGTTGAGACTAAGCCTTTAATTGCTTATTTTCCCAAAAAATGTTTCTTTCATGTGAGAAAAATGAGTAAACAATTAGTTCACGTAAAACTAGTCATATATCCCATCTGTATATGATCCTAATCTAATTTTAATTATACATATACTCAAAATGTTGGGTCGTGATGTGACGCATAAACTGTAATTATATTCATTATTTGCTATCATCAAAATATAAATACCTACTTAGGTATATGTTTTTTAAGCATATTTCGTAGGTAATACCTTATTTTATGAGAACAAATACAGGGTGTCTAGTAAAGAATGTGACTTACATTATAAGAGTAACTGATAGGTCAAAATAAATCAATTTAAATCAAGGTATAATTTTGCATCCTTTAGGGATTTAAAAAAATATATTTAAATTGTTTTAAGATAACGGCATTACTTTTTTATGAAATTTCAAACAACGGGAGAGAGTCTCCGCAGCGAGGGAGAGGGGGTAAATATGAGCTTACTTTTCATCTAAAACACAGAGGTCGACCAGACATTTTGTTTTGTTGCTATATTTGTTACGTTGGCAGAGATTTTGGAAAAACACACGGGATCTTTTTTTTCAGAATGCCACCTTTATTTAATTTACTTTATAAGATGTACATACAGTATGTCCACGGTTAGGGTGGAAAAGAGGGAAACTATTTTTTATTTTTCATTTTACAAGAAAAAGGCATTCTTGAATGATGAAAGTTCTCTTTGCCAACCACATTATAAAGACAAGCAAAAATTTTAATTAAGAATGCCTTTTTCTCGTAAAATGAACAATAAAAATGTGTTATTGTTCGTTTCTATCACAGTAACCTAGTAACTTTCCTTAATAACATATTTCTTTATTATTAAAAACAAAGAGGCAGTTTATTCTTGAACAATTTTTATATTTACCGATTTTCTGATCAGTGATCACCCTATGCATGCAAGTTAAAAGTTCTTCATGCCAACCGCATTTTAAAGACAAGCAAAAATTTTAATCAAGAATGCCTTTTTCTGGTAAAATGAAAAATAAAAATGTTTTTCCTCTTTTCCACTCTAGCCGTGGACATACTGTATATATCATTATAATCCACCGTTAGAAAAAAATTTTATTTCAGTGTCTTACTGCTTTTGAAAGTAGTACCTACCGCAAAGTTCACTCCAAATTATTTCTGTTGTCTCTGGTTCACTCCATCTGAGCAGTATCTCAGTAGATGTAGATTTTTGATTGAGTGAAATTAATTGGATTAAAATACATCCAAATACTCATGACTATATTAAATAAATCGAAATCCATTTATCTTTGGATTATAGCGACATGCAGCAAGTAGGTATACATTTTTTAAAGTAGTGTACATACCTAAGGTACCTATATATAAAGTGCGTTTTAAAAAAATAAACACCTTCAGTTGCACAAAATCTCTACCGACAAAAACACGGCAAAAAACTGTTTAAGGTACCTTAAAAACCGATGAAATTATTTTAAAAAGTTAAACAAAAATGATTTCAATAACTTTTTTAAACTTGTACTAACTTGATATAAATCGCGGATTATTTTGACCCGAAGCAGCTACTCTTGGACTATGTATATGATTCTCAGTAGGTATTTATTATCTTAGTTAAATATTTTGATTATTCAATTTAGTTAGGTAAAATGTTTTTTTAAAAGTTCCTGTAATTTTAGGTTGTTCTTTTGGTAAATTTTTACTAAAAAAATTTAATTAACTGGTTTTCAAGATACTAGGTATTGAATTTAAAAAAACTCGTATTTAAAAAATTTCTGATTTTGATATAATTAAGGGTTGTTGCCCATTAAGTTTCTGTACACCTTGAGTACTGCAACCAGTGATACTTCTGTTTGTTTTGATGGTTGCTTTTTATTAGGGGTAATTGTACTTTATAATTTAATTATGTCGCCATTTTGATTTTGATGTTCCTGTGTTCTTGTCTTGTATATCTTGTAAGTCAAAAAGTCAGTTAAATGCCATCGATTTTCTCAAATTTAGTGAGTTCGTAGTGAATTACATCTCTTTCCTAATTGTCACTACAAATTACCATTCGTATTTATTAAAATAGTTAGTATCCATCTAGCCTCTTTTGAAACAAATTGTTTTCCGCGGTGCTTTTCAATGAATATTTCAATTGTTGGTTGAATATTGGTTGAAATATTCTTTTGATTGTTACCGTGTGGAGACAAAACAACAGTTTGACAAAAACTACTCGAAGAAATGGAAAGCTCCTCAAATGGCATTGATTACACTGATGTAAATGGGATTAATGAAGTTTCAAGTTGTCCTTTTAATGGGTCAAATTCTCTAGCAAATGGTCATGAGGTAAACAAATTTCATATCCTAGACGAAACGGAGGAAAACGATGAGTCTGATAATTCTGGTGATTATGATTCTGACATTCCTGACGATGAAATCCAAAAAATGCTGGAAGAAGCTCTGGAAAAAAAGAAGCGAAAAGCTTCTGAAGCAGGTCTGGACATTGAAGAGGATAAGATACCTTTTGAAGAAAAAGTAAAAGAAATACTAATAGAAAAGGGTCAAAACCACTTCGATGTACTTCCAGAAGGATGGATTAAAGTAACGCATAACAGCGGCATGCCTTTATATTTACATAAGACTTCGAGAGTATGTACATTATCTAGACCTTATTTTTTAGGACCAGGATCAGTTAGAAAACATCAAATACCAGTCAACGCCATACCATGTTTAAGCTACAAACGAGCTTTAGACAAAGAAGTTGATCAGAATGATACAGCAATGGTTAATGAAAATTGCGATCAGGAATTACCTAATGCTAGAATAGAGACTGTACAAGAAAATTTGCAAACTCAAAACATTTCCCCCGAACAAGTTAGAGAATATTGTCGAAAATTATTTCAGTTTCAATCAATGACAGTATTGAGATTCAAATCATGGTCTGAAAGGAGAAAGTTTGCAAAAAAACAGAAACACGAGAAGCAGTTACAACGCCCTACGTTGCCAGATGGAACTAAATTGATAACATTCCCTATAAAAAATTCTGACAATTCTGACAATAATCCTAATACTAAAAAAGAATGGATTATGAACCCAAATGGCAAGTCTTATGTTTGTATTTTACACGAGTATGTCCAACATGCTCTGAAAAAACAGCCTACATACCAGTTTACCGAATTAGAAAATGCAGCTACACCTTATGCTGCTACTGTTATGATTAAAGATATGCGGTATGGAATTGGATATGGTACTAGCAAAAAGCAAGCTAAATCAGAAGCAGCTAAAGCTACTTTGGAAATTTTAATACCCGAAATGAAGTCCAAAATTACTAGTGATGCTCAGTCAGGTAGTGTATTGTTTCAAAATTCCTTAAAGGTATCATTAGTTAATGTTATATTACATTTTGACAGAGAAATGCTGAATTATTTAAAAAAGTGTATAATCTGGTTAGATATACCAGTGACCGGTGTGATAATGAAGTATGTATAGCACCCATACTGTTTTTTAGATGATTTCTAGAATCGTGTAGAGAATTTTCTGAACCAAAAATTAGAGGTCATCGACCCTAAGATTTTGAAAAGGGTAATAATCAACTAATATATAGAATCAAGTGTTTTTATATTCTTTTACAAAATTATTTTTTCTGCATACTGATGTCTATTTAAGTTTGAAGTTAATAATACTCCTTTTTTCAAACCATAATGCAGTAATTTTAACAAAAATAAAAACTATGAAAAATAAGAGAACTGTTTTATATATAGGTGTGATTGCAAGGGCATTGGAGCGCACTGATATGTATTACTAAAGCATTACTACGAAATTTACAGGCATTAGACAAAAAATGGCCATTAGTGCACAAAATTGTTGCCATCGGTTTACCCCTCTGTGGTTCTACAACATATGTTTTATATGATCTTGTACGTTTATTTTTTTTTTTTCTACAAATAAAGCCTCGACTGTTGCAGTATGAATATAAAATATCGGGTCTCTCTGTACAATAAATCAGTGATTTAAGGACAGCCATACTTAGTGTCTTTAAAAAAAATCATTAATGCAGTAGCGGAACCAGGACTGCTTCGAACCCCGAGGCAAAACAAATCGTTGAGAGCCTCGGGGACGAAAGACTGGGTGGTTTGTCCTGAAGAAAAGTTTAAAGGTGTTACAATGAAGCTTTCAATATCACGAGCTGATTTGATGAAGAGCAAATTAATAAATTTTTTGAAACAGTATCAAGTATCAAAGAAGTGCAATTTTTCAGGGGTTTCAAACTAAGATAGGTTAAAATTAATAATTATTTCTAAAGAGTAGCTTGAAAAGCTTTTGATATTATATAAAATGCTATGTTTACAATTCACTAATCGAACTTAGTTAAATTCATTATCATTATTATTTAATTTTATTAGGTGCAACAGGGAAGAAGCCGGAAGAACACGATTTATCATTTTTTGATGAAATAAGGGTGGAGGATCCGAGGGTAGCTGAATTTTGTGCTAAAACGACAGAGCCAGCTCCATATGACATTCTGTTAACATGTCTCCAAAGGAATTTTGGTTTAGATGATTTACACATAAGCTACCAAGGTAACACTTCTCGACATCAAGGAAAAGGAAATGAATTTACCATGACAGTTGGTAAACACACGGCTACGGTAGCATGCAAGAACAAACGAGACGGGAAACAACGCGCGTCTCAAGCCATTTTACAGGCATTGCATCCAAGCATTACATCCTGGGGATCTCTTTTGCGTCTTTATGGCAATCGGTCTGTTAAAAGTTTCAAGGAGAAGAAGATGGAAGAGCAGGAAATAACGTCCTTGCAAAGCAAAGCGGCCATAAATCAACCAAATTATGCCATATTAAATAAATTAATGGTCGAATTAGGTAAACTTGGAGAAAAACGAAAAGCTGTAAAACCGATAGGGGTTTTAGATACAGTGGAATCTGCCGCTGTTCCTAAACTATCTACAGCAAATCTGAAAAGTGTGGATTTATGAAGTGTAGCTGCGTTGTTAGAACGTTTAATTTCAATAAGTAGTTTATTTATGTACTGTTTGTTAATATGAAATACGCTTTGTTTATAATCTTGAACTTTTAGAGAAGAACTTCAGATAATTTTTTCTTGCCAAATAGGCAACCGATCATAGACACTAATTTTTCCATTGCGACGCAGTTTGTCTTTATCTTCAATGGTACAAATGTGTTAATGAAGCCAAATATAATAAAGGTTGAAATATTTTGAAACTAAACAAAAATTTAAGTTAGATGTCACATTAAACGATTTTTGACTTGATAATTGTTCAAGAAATTGTTACAATTTTTAGAATAAAAATGCCAATCATGACAGACTTATAACAAATTATATTTATATTAATGTAACTGCAATTACATTCGATTTAAGCGTAACATATTTTTTAAACATTTAAAATAGTTGCAAAGCTGTAGAACTAAAATTAATACTGTTACATAAATATTATTTCACTAAAATTGTTTCCAATTTCTTGATCAGTTTATGTAGCAAGGAAATGTTCCACCATTTTTCAGGGTGCATATCAATCTAGAATTATCTAGAATTTCATTGCTGAATTGTCTAATCAGGGAATTTGTCTACTTTACATGGAATTTTTTAAAATTCCAATAGCAATCGATCTTTATTAGTAAACTAGTTCATGCTGATAGTATTTACATTTTTTATATATGTATATGTATAAATATAGTGAAAGCTTAAAAGTTTCCACTAAATGGACATTTTTCTTTTTTAAGAAAAAAAAATCCCAATTTTTGCCCATCTGTATATCCAATAAGTACAACTTGGACATAATGAGCAATTTTTAATTCAGGGGACATTAATCCACTAAAATTTAAGATATTTTATTTTTACAAAAAATATCAGGATTATTAATCAAATCTAGTATCTTTTATTTATTTTGATATTGAAATAAAGTTGGTAATAAAAAATAAAAGCATTTTTCTTTCCAATTTTTTTTGTGGATATTTTATTTTTGTAATTTAAAATTAAAGCGCTAAATGAAGTTAAAATTTTTTTTACGACAATAAAACTTAATTTACACATTAAAAAAAAATTGAAAAAATAAATTTATATTTGGACTTTCTTTAATATAAATTTTGTTTTAGTGCTTTTATAATTCTACCAATATTTCACATATTTTTAAATTTTGGTCGATTAAAATAATATTTTCTTCTAAATAAAAAAGATCTCCCAATATAACTATGTAGGTTGTCCTTACTTGGTGCTCAAACAAAAATTATTAGAAATATTTTTTTTCTTAAAATCGTAATACAAATGTTTTCCATTTGCTGCCAAACCTTATGGCCACTGTATACTGACATAAGCTCAGTTTATTGAGTCAAAAATTGATAAATGTAAAACAGGTTTTAAACCGGAAACAGAAGACTATGATGGGTTGTGACCTATACTTGTCAGGTCTTAGGTTCTTAACAGACATTGGCTACATTTCTAAGCTTATTTCTGCCTGATTTTTAAAAAATCTTGGAAAAAACTTGCCCTTTCCTATCTTGAATGCCATCATTTTTGGTGTCACGACCCAGGACTGTCAAATTTTAAAAAGAATACTGGCCTGTACAATGTTAATTCTAATTTTATTTAAATGAAATGTAAATATTTTATACCATCCAAGCAAGACTGAAAAACGACATCATAAACGTGTTAATATCTATATTATTGCCCTTCATTTAAATAATCAGAACTAGTGCACGGGTTGGTCTTCATTTAAAAATCGGACAGTTCTGGACTTGCTTGCTTTTTTGTTAATTTGATTAATGAAACAGTAAAATTTTTTGTTTGTTTTTCGTATTTTTCTTAATTATGAAGACTGAGTAATTGACCAAGATATTTTAATCCATTTTAAATGTGATTGCAACTATTAGGATAAATTGTACTACACATTAATCAGTAACATAATTCATTTCTTTAATGAAGCATAGTCATTTAGAAAAGTTTTATAATTTTTTTACACTGATTAAACAAAATTTTCAATAAATAAAGAAAGTAGTGAATATGTGACTTTATCACGTGATTAATTGCTGATTGTTAATGAAACATTGTTTGAAGTTATTTATTTGTTTTATGTTTTTCTGTTTATTGGGTATTTTGCCACTTGTGAAAAAATTTTTTAAATTCAGTTGAATAAATACTTGTGCTAAAAGAACCAGTCAAGGGTTATTTTTATTGAACCATGTTTGCCTGTCCAAAAATTACAGAAAAAAATACACATCGCTATAGTACTATCGGCAAAAGAAGACTGATGTGGAAACGGGGTGTTCGTAGAATAAATATCTAAATGCAATTTCTTGTTGAAGTGGTACATACACATGGGATGACAAACCAAAGAAATTTCGAAAGTTTCTGTCACCAAAAACTGTCATTAGATAATTGCGGCATCTATGTCAATAGAAGATTAAAGCTAATTATATTGAGAATTAGTTCGGTACATGTACCTCACAGCATTTTTTGCAGAACTTAGATGATATACATACATACAGTACGACGAGGGTGTGGGAGGGGGGGAATTGCTTCTCCATTACGGCACTTAGGCATTATTAGGCACCTTATACACCCTCCTTTCATTACTCGAGTACTTTCCTTCAAAACATCCTATTACTACACAGGTGGCTTGGTGGCAAAGTCTAGTACAATTTTTTATGTATGATAGCATGGTCTGGAGTTACAGATTTATTGCTCTATTTTCATTACCATTTTATCGGGGAACATACGCAAGCAGGTGTTGAGCGACTCAGGTGTCTGGTAGGCTGCCACAGCCACGTCCTGGGCCTGCCTTAGGTCAACCATCTAAGTTCCAGCCTGCAGAACTTAGATATCTCTATCTCTAAATATTGTGGCTGATGTGTTTGATGCAAATTTTCTCAATAATTGTATAGATTATCATGAACAATATCTTTTTTTGTATGAAAAATGCCACTTTTTTTAAGATATAAAATTAAAGGACTCCACCATAATCTTATGGAAAATGACTTTCAGCAAAATCGTCTTAATTTTTTGAGAGGTCTTATCAATCTAACCAAAATTCCTAATGGCCACAACCCCCAGTAATGCCTCTTTTTAATATAACTCCAGTAGCTGCAGTATCTGAATTAAAATATTGACATTTGATTCAAGAAGTATCGAGGGATTTGAACAAGGTACTTAGAGGTTTTCGGTTAGATGATTACATTGAGCAGGTCAATCAACCTTTGTTTTCAAGGTTATTTGAAGGTAAAAAGGTCGGGTGTGTTAAAAAATTATGAACAAAAATTTACAAGTTTTTCGGGTCGCTGATTACAAATATTGCATGATCCAGAAAAATTGGAAAACAGATTTTATGGTTGTCCTTCGAAGGCAGTTGATCTCCTTGATCTCAGGTTCGAAGTAAAAGGAGGCATTACCGGGAATCGTGGAATTGAAAAGGTAAAAAATGTAATAAAATTTGTAGGGTTGTATTTAAAAAAATTATGTTGGTGACGGTCCTGGAGACGAAAAGTTACATATAAAAATTGATTATGCCATTCGATAGAGGGCAAAAAGTTACCATGAGAAAGTGTTCTTTTTCAATATCACCTCAAATTGGGCTGAAATGAAACAAACGAATTTCCAAAATTTCAGTTTTTTCAAATATTTCGAAAACTAATCATGGTAGTCTTGATTTTTTGGAAGCATAATGTTGGTCCCTTGATTATATAACTTTGCCCACATTTAAGCTACCTCTTAACTCTTACATTTTCCGCCATAACAGCCTTCTTACTTATGAAATTACAAATGTCCATTTCAACAATAAAATACAATATTCATGTTTGATACAAACTGTTTATTAAAAAAAAGAACACCTATATATTAATATTTACACATAAAAAATTATACCTAACATCACATTTTACAATTCTTAATCTGTAAAAAATTTACTACATAGTATTTCCATTATTTTACAAAATATACATTAACAAATTTAAAACATAAAATTCTTTACTGGAATTAACAAAAATTACAACTTTTACACTGTAGACATCCGTTATTCTTAATTTTATGCAATTACGATGCATATTCAAGATGTCAAAACTGCAATATTTTCTCAAATTTATAAAAGAATCCAAATCAGTTTTTTTCAGTAGTAAATACTAACATAATAAACCCATAATTACTTATTCCATTTTCAGTAGTGTTTGTTACATTATTCAACCGTTCACTTTAACTATTAAATAAAACTTGATTTATTCCCAAACATTTACGAAATGTCGTGATGATAGAATTATAAAAAAACAAGCTATATTTTTAATAAATAAAACGATAAATCCAAAAATTTGATCCGTTTGCAAACCAATGTACATGAAAAAGAAAGAAAATGTAAACCATAATGTAAATTCCCCTTTATAAAATTTGCAATGCAATTATTTATTGGTATTATTTACTATTATATCCAATGCATATTTTGTTTGTTTAAACATTATGAATGTTTCAGTCATATCTCCTGCAGATCTCTGAATTTGGGTCTTAACTACTAGACTTTTGACAATTGCCATCTTCACAAATATTAGCATGTAATTTTTTCTTCATATTTCCAATATTAATGACTTTTTCAGCTATCTGAGCGTTCTTTAAAAAACTTTCTTTATTGATAATATTAAGAGGTTTAACTTTTATTGCACTCTCAGCTAAAGAACAAATTTTATCTGCAATATATTTTACCTCCTTATTTTCAGCATGAAACATTTTACTAGCAACAAAAAGAGCAGATGTTGAAATTATTTCTTTACGAATACGACCTCTTTTACTTGGGGTACCTTTTTTCTCAGGATTCTGAATAAAATTTTTGGTAGTGGTACGATCATTTATAACTGGTTCATTTTGAAATGCTATTTTAGTCTTTTTTATTGACTGTTTGTATTGACTTCGAGACTTTCCTTTTCTAAATGAATCATTATCAATGGTAAACAGAGTGTTTACCTTTGCACTCACACACTTAATAGTAGGACGTTTGGGTACCAAAATATTTTTTATTTGGGAAACAGTCTTTTTACTGTCTTGAGAATGATTTTCTTTTGTATGATCCTTTATACTGCTGCAATTAGTTGAAGAACTTGAATGTTGATCACTAGACAAGACAGAAGTGAAACTTATTGAATTTATATTAGTTTTTTCTACTTTATTAGCCTTAAAAGGGGGAATTAGTTCTTTTACAATGCTATTTTCAACCGAAGAAATCTGTTGATCTGTTTTTGGAATAATTTTATTGTTTATATCAGTTTGTATGTTTACATCAGTTTTGGTATTTGGATCATAATTATCTGGAGAGTTCTCTGTGTTAAGTGTATGAACAACTACATTAGATATTCTTTTAGACAGAGGATACCTGGCAACAAAAGCGTTCAGCATCGTTTCATCGGTGTTAATCAAAACTTCTTTATTATTACTTTCATTGAAGAAAATATTCATGTTATTTTCATTACGTTTGTCTTTAAATTGGGTCTCCAAAGAGTCATTGATAATAGTATTCACTGCAAACTGTTTATCATTCACAACACTAGAATTTTGTGATACAGGGAGAATCATGTTTAAAGATTTTGGATTAATTTGAGATATATTATGACTATTATCATCAACTTTTGATGTCATGATTTTTTTTTGAAGTTCTATGCTAGATTCAGGAAAATTATTTTCTATTAACTTCTTTTTTCTTGGGCTGATACCTGGAGACAGAGCTAATGTTTTTGAACCTCTATTTATTGAGGAAGCATGAAATTTAGAATCATTTTCATTAGAAATTTGATCAATGAACGTTTCTTTGAATGTAGTCTCTGCATTGCTTTCATTCGAAACTGTGATATTAGTTTCTGCATGTTCCGTTTTAGATTTACTGTGAACGTTTATATTTTCTACTCTTTGGTTCACATCACTTTTCATTTTTAAAGGATTTTGTTGGCACACTGAAATTAGAAGAGACTGGTTTTTAGAACTATCTACCTTTCCATTCCTCCTGGATTTCAGAATTTTTTCATTTTTACCACACAATTTCTTGGATTTGTATGGTTTTGTTGACTTGTTGCTTTGACTCTTGGAAGTCAGTTTGTTAGAAATGCTTGATTTTATCGGTTTAAGTTTCTTTCCAGTAGCAAACATAGTATTTTTGTGGTGAACTACATTTCTTAGTAAAGATGCATTATTTCTTTCTAAAATTTTAATAGTACCCTGTGAAGACCATTTTGATTTTTTTTTAAATTTTAAATGGGAATTTTTTTTTGCAGTTTTATTAGTTTTATTACTAATTTTTGCTGAATCTGGTTTTTTGACGACTATATTTCCAATCAATGGTTTTTCTTTAATTGTATTTGCATTATATTCCAAAGTAAACTCATTATCAACCTGAGCTGAAACTGTTACAGCTACCGAAATGCTAATATCTTTTATCGCTTCCACATTTGTTTTGGCACATTCGTTTTTAATAGCATTACTGCAAATTTTTATTAAAGCTTCATGATTGACAAGATTGGAGATTGTTTGAGTCACAGAGGTATCAGTTCTAATACTCTGAAGTGAAATTTCTTGCTGTACTTGATTAGGAATTTTTGCACATGTAGAATTTTTTTGATTTGAAGAAATACTTGTTGGCATTTTTGAATCATTGTTATGCAAAACTGCTTCAGATTTGGAATTTATAACATTTATATCAATACAAGCCTGAGGAGGCTTTTCGATTGATTCTTTGTCTGTTTCTAAAGACATTTCTTTAGAAAAGTCTTTAATATCTAAATATTTACTATCATTAGTATTATCTATAGGAACCTTATAAATTAAACTATTGGTATCATTTGGATTAACAGCTCCCGTTGTTGTTCCTGGATTTTGGTCGATAGTAGTTGCAATGTGAATATTGTCTTTTGATTCATTATTAATCCAACATAAATCATCCCTGTTTACTTTATGAGATACGGAAAAGAAATTTATATTAGGTATTTGTTCTTCTAAAGAAATTTCTTTTTCATTGCTTTTAAGAATCTTACCTTCAACAGATACCACGGACGTGGCTGTTTCTTCTGTAATATTGTCTTCATTTGCACTATTAATTGCATTTGAAACTTTACGTGAAACTATCTTTGATACATTACTTAATGTATGGACACATGTGTTGTTTTCTTTCGAGGTACTTAATACTGATTCCAAGGTAATTTCATTAATGTTGACCTGTGTTGCAGTTTCAGGATCAATATTATGAATAGATGCTTCGCTCTGTAAACAATTTTGCCTGTCTACTTCAGAATCATTTTTTATTGAATCTTTATTTTCTGAAAGCAATAAACTGTCCCTCGAATTATCACAAGCAGCATTTGTCATTTGTGTCAGAGGAGCTGCATTAGCCGAATCAATTTCCGTAGACATTTCACTATCAGGTTTAAGTGGAACTATCTCTGACACAGTATTCACTAAAAAAGGCATGTTATCATTAAAAGTCTGATCAATACTTTCTGTTACGTTATCAGAATCAGATTTGGTTTCCGTATGAGTTGCATCAATATTTGAATCAAACTGCTTGCCATTTTTTAATGTTGTATCATGTCTTTCCTCTAAATTATACTCGTTTTGAAGAATTAAGGAAGAAGATTCGGCATCTTTTAAACCTTCAGTATCTCTATTGCATGAACCTTCAGTTTGTTCATTATCCCTTCTTCCATGAAATTCAAAGTTGGATGGTTTTTGTAGAGATGGTTCACTTTCAATAATGACAGTTGTTTGAGAGCTACTACTATCTGTTTTTAAACAAGTGTCCTCATTCACTCTTCCCTTTTCATCATTACTTTTAATATCAGTAGTATCTTCCAAAGAAATCTTTTCATTAGCATTAGATGGACCTTCCTCTATATCTCTTGATGGGGCACCAATATTATTAATTGTACTGCAAATTTGTGTGGGAATTTCAACAAATTCTGAATTACTATAATTTTCTAAACAAGGTTTTTCATCTATATTGGTAATATTTTTCATTTCTACATCATTACAAACTGTGGTTTTACTTTCATCCGTAACAACTTTATCTTTTTCATCAGTTATCTTATTTAGATCACATTTTATAATTTTGTCATTGTCATTTGAATCATCAATATTATCTGTAGGTTTAATATGCTTTTCAGTCGTACTTACTTGTGGCATAAGTACATTAAGATTTTTTAAAACACTATTTTCATTAGCTTTATTTTGCAATAAAGTTCCATCATTCGCAGCTAATATTTTAGGCTTCATTAAAAGAGCACTTTTTTTAAGAATAATAGTTTTCGGTGGACTATTAGGAAGTTTAACAGATGTTGTTTCTGACTCAAAAATATTTTGCGGACTATCTTTTTTTAATGGGCTAATGGACTTTACAGATAATATCTCATTATTTTTTATTACAACTTGTTTTGCCCCAGCTGATTTAAACTTGAGAGACTTTCCAATTGCCGATCGATTTTCAGACACTAACATTAATTTTCCTTCAGAGGTTTTAACAAGTTTTACTCCAGTTAAATACTGCTGCTTACGCTGATTTGAAATTTTATTTGCACCGAACTGAGAAGTGGGTGACACAAGCTGTCCATTTAATGAACTGGAGGACTCTACTCTTGAAATGATGGGAGTGGCTGTCGTAGGTGTTGTACTAGATTTTAGTATAGATTTTAGTTTTCTTTGAGGCGGATATGTAGCAACTGTAGTTTGGTTTATCTGCAAAAATAAATTCTATAAAATTTTCTTGAAAATTAGAGGCATGTTAAAAGCAAGTACCACTAACAACGATTTCGGTACATATGTATTTTACTTCATAACATAAAACATTATATCTCTTCATGGACACATTATTTCTATTATGTATTTAATATTTACAAACAGAATTATGAAATATACAGGGTGTCCGGGAAAATGTGGGAAATCTCTCGAGTGCAGATAGAACATGAAAAATATGATGACAAGTTCCTATAAAATTTTTTCGTCCTCCCTACGGAGATATGTTTCCTGAAGGACGCCGCTGCAATTCGGTTTTTCTTGAATAACTTCTAAAGTACATAATATAATTTAATACAAATTTTATGTGATGGACATTAGTAAGGACCTCTTAAAATAGTGTCATTGAAACATATTTAGCTTTCTTAGTTTACCAGGGACGGGCTAAGCTTTACAACTTAATACCTAAATTTTTAACACCCTGTATGATAAAGACTTTAAAATAATAAATCTGGGTAGGTTCAACCTTAGATTAGAAAAGGTACTCTTGTTTATTGTCGATAAGATGAACCGTTTACGAGAAAGAGAATAATAAACGAATTCATGTTTTATTTTTAATAAAAAGGGCCATGATTTCTATTTTTTTTTTCTCAACAAATGCATATTTAGTTGAGAGTGAGTAGAGATGGGCTATTCAATTCTTTTTAACGATTGCTTTCGTTCGACTGATTTCAAAAAATTATTCGCACCAAAAGATTTGTATGAAGGCTTCTTAGCAAAAAATATGTTCTTCATTTTAGTACGGATTTAAGTTTATTTTAGTACTTACACGATTCTAATTGTTACCACGTCAGATGCTTTTATAATATAAAACATTCTACCAAGTTTTTGTATATAATTTCTAAGCTGCTAACGAAAAAATACTGACATTAGCTGGTTATATAAATTTTAAATAAATCAATATAATCACAGACCACACATAATATTAACGTAACACACATAACCAGTTTTTATATAACAAAAAAAAAAGAACAGGATTAAGTTTGTCACTTATTTTTGGAACTTCAAATTTTGGATGCCCAAAAAAAATAATAAATATATGCCTACATAAGATCATTGTAGTACTGTAATACCATTATATCATGTAACAATCTCGCATACATATTTTGTATATATACTGGAACTAGTGCTGAATAACGAATCACATTGCTACATATTTTGTATGGCATAGGTTGATACAACACTACAAATATTTTTCATTTCGAAGATACATACCAAATGAACCATGGCAATGGTTTATATAACTTGAACATACTATACGGATTTGACACATCTCTGTTTTACATCATACCTCTAAATTTGAAAATATGACACTTTTCCTTAGGCAGTAGTGCTCACGAATGTTTTGTCGGTAAACCCTAGCCATCATTCAGTTCAGGAATGAGAGAAACCTGGAAAACCTCATCAATTAGTCAAACTGGTATCAATTTCTCATTAAGCCCAACCAATCTTCTATTCTACCACACCCATGCCCCTCTTCATTCCATGGGTATCGTGCCCATTTCCCCTACAAGTACAGTTGATCTACCAGATTATATCTAGTCATGCTTTTAATGCAATTTTTGCTAAACAAAATTCAATTAGAGTATTTTATATTAAAATTTGCCAATTTTTCAAATTTCCGCCATTATCCCCCTTCCAAATCGTAAATGAGTTTTATTTTATTTAATTGAAAACTTTGATGAACTATGACAAATTATTTTTGTAATTGCACTATTAGAGGGTTCTAACTGCAAAATGATACATTTAAGAGTCTGCTTATTAGAAGTTTTAATATTTTCTTATATGTGCGTAATCATACCTTCTCTTTCCCAAAGTCCTTAACCTACTTTTCGGGACTCCTTTTATTATAGGTATATGTTGGTAGCTTTATATAATCACCTCTGGTATAAAGAAAAATGCAATCCAGAGTTACATTTCAACTATTAATCATTTTAAACTTTTACAAATAACACATAATCCTCATACAATTTTGGCTTTTGATAAGTTGTAGAACAAAGATTGTTGAAGAATTGTGCAATGACTGCTAGTTTCAATTAGTAGTAATGAAGTTATTTTGCTATTGAAATCTTACCAAACTGATGCTTTTTTAAGAAAATTTCTTCCTTTGCTTCAATTTAAGACCTTCGTTTCTTCAAAACAATTTTCATATTGGTTCTTACCCATTTTAAACCTCAAGAAAATAAATATTGTCGTTAATATGGAGAGAAAATAAATTATCCCCCGTGTCTTGGGGATATAAAAATAATAATATACTTTTAGTTCATATGTGAATGACACCTAAATGTCAAAAGTACTTTCTTGGAATTAACCACATTCGACATTCGAAATAATGCCATGTGACCTCCTTAAAGCATACACATTGTATATTACATAATTTTCATATATTTTTTAATAAAATGTATATTTCTAGCAATAAAAAGTAAATTTTTAATTCCCCATTATGAATGTAGATTATATCCATTAAATAATGAATAAATTGTAAATTTGTCATGGTACAGCTTAATGAAATTCATCTGTCCAGTAATATGCACAAACCTGAAAGAGAGTGCACTATACTTAAAAAGTTCGAGGACCGGTAAAGCACAATCGGGAGATAAAGCAAAAATGGGTAAAACCCATTACATTACTTGTTATATTTAAATGCATTATTAAAGTGTTATTATTTACATAAAAATGTATTTATTTATTCATTTTTTATTATTCATCACTTCTCTACTTGCACATATAAAATTTTCTTTGAAATATTTAATGTGTTCTTTTTTAATTAAACTGATGTACGTATATACATATTATGTTTCTTATATTCTTTATTAAAGTATCACAAAAATACATAACAATAAACAATTATTTCTTAATATCCCGATTGGATTTACTTAAAAAAACAACAGATGAAAAAATAGAAGTTTTGAGTATAAATATGAAATTTTTCATATACTCGTATGTTCCGAATTGAGATATAGTCATTACATAATACATGATAAACAAATTTAAATTAAATAATATCACAGATTGCTTTTTACGACATTACCTTATTGGGAATGTGTTTATCTACCAAGAGAGGTTTCAATAGGTCACTTTGTTTACTGGAAGGAACCTAAAAAATAATTCTCTGAATACTCCTTAAAATTATCTTAAAATTTTTCAGATTAGGTGTTAGCAGACTCAATGAGTCACATTTCCGTTTTTTTGATTAGAAAATGTAAATATACCGCGTTTTTTTATCTTTATGGCCATTCACAAAAAATAGCTACTTTTCATTTTATATCTATGTAACTTCTTTAGATATGAATTTTAATACAAGAATTACTACCAATAAAAGCTATGTTTTTATATTGGCATCTATATTCAATTTTAATCATAGGTGTATGACAGTGGAGCAGCAGCGATTATAGTTATTTATATTCTATTAATCAGTTTTTTGGTGAAAATTATTATACTCCAATTTATGTATATTCTAGGTATAAACATAAAGATTCTGTTGTTTTGTATGTTTCTTTCTTAAGTTATATATACTACTAATATTTTATTACATATTATCCAAGACATCATTGCAAGTCTGACAAATATGTAACATGCAGAGTAGTTTGGCTTTAGGAAATGATCAAATCGTTTTTTATACATTTGGTTGCTGCAAACGGATAGTCACAATAAACATTACCATAAGCAGATTGAAATTTACATATTTTCAATATGAAACCAAACTTATGGATATAAAAGTACTTCACAACATAGAGATATGGAAACATTTCTTAAAAAATTATCTTAACGCATAATTTTCCTCAAAATACGTCACTTGTTTTTTAAAGTATATGTCTAGGGTGTACTGTATATTTTTAAGGTAGAATTTAATTCATTGGAAAATGATTTTTTATTTTACATTACCTTAAGAGGGTCAACCTTGGGTAACGGTGTAATTTCTGCAAATCCATAATTGCGATCCTACGAAAAAACATTATTAAAACAATAGTTATAAATTGAAAAAATTATAATTTACCATAAAACCACTGTCAGAAGTTAAGGCTTCACTTAGTACATGTATATTGCACTCAATATCCTGTTTGGTTGAAGTCTAATAACAAATGGTTTCTGAAGTGGCTGTTTACATTATAATTATTGATTTTAACTTACTTCGCTTTGACTAGGAGTATTCTTTTCTTCATCGTCAGAATCAAGAATTTCAATAGGTTCCACAACAGTTTTCGGAAGGAGTATTGACCGTTTCTTAAGAATTTGCCTAAATTTCCAGCTCTCTGCACTTTTTTCATTTTCGGGTAAAGCTGAAATGAGGCAAAACGCCTTTACTGCTAATTCACGTTTCTGTAATAATAAACCATCTTTCTCTATAATATTTTGTTTTTCCAATTCTATAAGTGATTCTATATCCTCTCTTGCCTGAAAGATTTTATTTAATTATTATTTAATGGTAACACAATAATTTTTGACGGCTGGTTCAGTTTATATATCATCTCATATCAATATTAAACATATCTTTTGTGATTTTGTCAAGTATCACTCGTTAGAATATAATTTACTTACATTATCTAATATATTTACTATGTCATTTCTCCCCTCTTCTGATTTTGGAATGTTAATTACATCTGCAAGTTCTTCAATCTTTTGTCTTACAAATATTTGTGCTCTTCTTGCGAATATCCTTAACAATTCTTCCCGAGAGGTTCCAATTTTATTAACACAAAATTCATTTGTTATAGTTTTAATATTGTAACATCCAAATTCTCCACAAATCTGAAAATTACTGATAATTTTAAAACATACATTTCCTAGTACAATATGTTTTAATTCTGTAAATTTGTAATAGTTTATACTTACATAATGACCGCTAAGAATACTGACGTCGATAGGTTTAGTTTTTTCTAAATCTATGTTAGTCATAACTATAATGTTAATCCTAAAAGTTTCAGGTACGGGCTGTAATAAGGATGAAAATCGGCTAAAACAATATAAAAATTAATCAAACGGATAAGAATAGCTTATTTAACATACCATTGTAAGAAATCTGTTGCAGAATTAACACTTGGAAATCTCAATAATTTATTTTCAAATGGCCAAGAAACATCAATTTCAGGGGAGTCTTCATGTTGAAAGGCACCAAGATACCCCAAATGAGGTATGTTTGTAATTATGTACCTATTAAATTGCTCTGGTGTTCTTGGTTCACTGTCCAACACTTTGATGCAATCGTTATTTTGGGTGACAATAATCCTTTCATTTTCTTCAAATGTGCATTTTTGTTTTTTGATACTTAATGGAAATTCCAATTCATTTTTCCTTTTTACACCTTTTGCATAGGTATCTCTTGTCAAATCAATTGTATGTTTTCCTGACATACGGCTATAAGGCCGCTCTACGAGCCAATGCCCACATTTATAATCTGTTTTGCCCTGCATCTTATTAAAAGATTCTGTACATACCAGAGACTGATTTATATATCGCAAGGTTTCAATGTCATCATATTTATGTTGCTTAAAATAAGGACCGATGAAGAGTCTGTCCTGGTAATGAGCGTCAAAGTATATTCCAAATGCTGAGTGATAGTTAGGATTACAGATAATTGAATTTCTCAAAATTACTGTACAATTGGCTTCTTTAGCTTTGTTACTTGCACTAAGTAAATCGGTATATTTTATGGAATACTTTATTTTGATGAAATATAAAAAAGTAAAATCTGAATTTAAAAATATCATTCGCCATTTACACATAGGATATATCTCAGGTAAAGCCGCCCACATGTATAATTTATTTTTTTCTATAGAAGTTTCCCCCACAGCTGCTAGGGTTTCTTCCACTAACTCTTGAAGTTTAAATCTGCCTTTTGAAAGGCATAGGACTTGCTGTACGCCATTCAAATCCTTATGCTTAAAAAACCCCGTATCTTTACCAGTATTCACTTTACTTGGTTCCTTTTCACAATTTATAGAATTTGTATCATTAAAATTTTTAGTACAGAGGCCACAAATTTCATAATTGTCTTTGGTTTGCTTCAGAATAAATGAGATATGATCTTCATGATACCGCTGTGGTAGTTTATTCTTTAGAATCCATAATATAACTTCAGTAGTTTGTGTTGTTTTTCTAATATCAATATAATTTTTTGGAAGGGTTTTATCGCTTTTGTTTATCAATAAACGAGACGGTTGGTCCACCATACACCAAATTTTGACATTTCCTTTGTTAAAACTGTTTATAAGAGCCCTCCATGGTAACAAGCGTGCATATCCTTCTGAAACAGTTCTATTGCCCATTTTCTGTAAAAGTTCCATGTTTCTTTCATCGACTATTATTTCGCCATCAAAAACAGGCTCTATAATTGTATTTCTTCTCGTGACAAATCCAGATTTCTTCCTACGCTGTATAGCTAAGTGTTGATTAAACAACGGTTTTGGGATAGCATCATCATTTCTGACTTCCAGTGTTTGCTTGCGTTTATGTTTGCTTTCGCTAAGTGCCTTTTCAATTAACAAAGACATTGACTTCTTATCTTTTTCTGAATCTAAGATCAGTTGTTTTTTTAATATATCAACTTCAAGTGTATCAGGGGAGCTTACAAGAAGTTTCGATTTCAAAACTTCAGATTGGGTAATATTGTTACTAAAATCATATTTGATCAATTTACTTAGAGACTTAATTGAATGTTTACGTTTAGTTCTTATATCGATGGGAACACCAAGGGTCCTAGCACAACCTACTGATTGAAAATCAAGTTCATTGAAATAGGCGAAGTCTTCTTTTAACTTCTTATTTATACGTATAGGTCTTCCACTAGCTGACACTTTTATGTCTATACCTGGAGCATTATTAAGATTATTTGAATCGATGAGAGACTCTTTCTCAATTTTAGGTTGTTTTGGCAGTGTCACCTTAATACCCTTGAGATATTTTTTGTCAGTAGTTGGTTTCTTTTCAGTTGTTTCCTCGCCAATAGGTTTAGAAGAAATCTTGGTTGTAGCATTTCTTGCAATACAATTTACAGGAAGAGACTTTGCCTCACAACGACAGCTGTATACATTGTGAAGCATACAATAAGGTATAATGTCTTGGAGATTTAATCTATCTAAACTTACAATGCACTCTTTAGAGAAATGTTTTTTCTCCTGGGTCTTTGTCTTTATATCTTCTTCAATGGATTCAAAGTTGGAATCAATATAATCAGAATATTTTATAGGAGCTTTTGTAGATCTTCTAGTTTTATGTCTTCCACCTGTACCCACTACTATGGTTTTGTCATTAGTATGTATTACCATTTGTGTGAATTCACGTTCAACTTTTGCCAAATCTTTTTTGGCTTCATCTTCAATTCTTGTTACAGTATCTTTCGACAAAATGTCTGTTCCTGCTGGTAGCATAAGTTTATCATACTCTATAGATTTTTCCCTAGGGCATTTGCATTCTAACATACAGCCAACATTCTGGCAATGATAAGTTATCATCCCATCACATTTTAAACTTTTACATACACATCCAAGCTGGCAGTATGATTTATAGCATGATTCTTCTGTGGAGTCTTCTTCAACTTCTACGTTGACTACTTTGCAACTCAGTCTCAACAGTTCTAATTCTACTTTGGACTTTTTCTTCGGTGGTTTCTTAATAATACTTGAAATATTATCAGCTATAATAGGCATTTTATCTAATTTGCCATCCTTATAATTATATTCAATGTCTTCTTCTTCTTTAATCAATGTAGGAGCAATTTCTTTAATTTCAACATATCTAATTAAATCGTCAATAACATTTGCGACGACACTGTTGATACATTTGTCTTCGTTACTTTTTTCTTCCGGATTATACTTTAGTGAAGTAGTTTTTTGTTTTTTAACAATTATTTTTTCCTGATTGTTCATGTATTTAATAGGAAATTTGAATGTTTTATTTTCAGTATTTGTATTAAATTTTGTTTTCAACGTAGATAATGCAAATTCAGCTAGATCTGTAGTGATAAGTCCATCACATTGTGGCAATCTAGATATAATATCAGATGGTAAGCATTGGCCAATTTTTGGCGTTACCTCTAGTGTTATTTTAGGCAACAATTTAGTCTCTGTTTTCCAATTATCATGACCATTAACTTGTAGGGTAGACTTTTTGCTTAAAGGTCCTGGGAGATATTTTATTTTTTCGTTGTATTTTTTTGTTAGCTCAGTCAGTAGAGATAGCTTCTTTTTTCGATAACAGTTTTTTAAAGGAGGTCCCACTCCCACTGGATACTTAATTTTTGCTACACAAACGTTAGGTTTCGTTCCTTTTACCCATAATTTTCTGTTATTAATTTCTATATAACTACACCTTTTTTGTCCGGCAATTTTTGTATTATTTATTACATTTTCAGATCGTTTAATAAATTTTCCCTGCTTCTTTAATTCCTTCAATCTTTGCTTTTCCAAAAGCTTTCTTTTCTGAGCTACAGTTTTAGCTTTTATTGTTTCTGTCCTCTTTGATATTGGTATATTGTCGTTATGTACTTCCACCGTTTTTTTTAATATTAAAGGACTTTCCTCGCGATAACTGTCTGTTAACCCCTCCTCTGCGCCAGATTTTGGAATTTTATAGCTAATATTTAATTTTGAATTCCCTGTCAAAAATTCATCCAAAGTGTTACTTACAAAAGGGGAATTTTTGTCAATATTTTGACTCGTTTCGTCATATGTAAAAGATGATTGAGAATTATCAGCAGAAGCACTAGAACACTCTGTTTTTTCATTAGATTCCTCAAGTATTTTTAACGGAGTAGTTGTAGATCTTGAAAAACAATTAAATTTAGGGTTACGAACATCCTTAGTTGTATTTTTTGTACCATTCACTGAATTATTTAATTTTTGTTTTCGAATTATTTTCCTTATCTCATCAAATACTTCGCTAGTCTCATTCACTTCAGTATTTTCCAAATTATTTTGTAAAACAAAACTATTACTATCCGTGCTGTTCTCTAATGCAGAACTGACAGTATTTGATGAATCCTCATTTATTACAGCCTGTTTATTACTTTCATTATTTTGGTCCCCTATATCTATACCTCCTTGTACACTTAAAATTACAAGACCAAATTCATTAGTTTGAGTATACAGATCATGTTCTTTACCATTACCGGTAGTTAATAATTTTTTAAAACTATCTTTTATTCCATTATGTTTTTCATTATTTGCTATTTCAGGACTTTCAAAACTATTATCTAGTTCTTTTATATTACACTCTGAAGAATCTACAACTTTGGATCTCAGTTGTTGTAAGAAATGCCCCTTTTTTCGTGTTCGTAAGCTGTTCAGTTGTAATTTTAAATTATTTCTTATGTCTTCTAAATCTGTTAGTTCCGAATTCTCTTCAACATAATTTTCATTTTGATCATTACTCCTTTCTGTTGTGGGATAACATAAATCATTATCTTGTACTTTGTCCACTATTGTGCACACTCTATCGCAGTTTACTTTTTCACATTTTTTTTTATTGATAATTGTGTCTTCTTCATCAATGCCTTTATCAAGAGGCTGTTCCCGTATTTGCTTAGAACTACTTCTGTCAGTGATTTGATCATCAGATGATGTACTTTTATCATCTTTTGGATCATTTACGCTTGGTGAGGTATTCTGATAGATATCTGTATTTTTTATATTTATGGTATTATCACATTCTGAATTTTTTGCAGAAATAAATTTCTTGTCATCCGCATTATTAAATACGTTTTTTTCTCGATCGTTCTCTTTTTCAATGATATTTCCTTCACTGGAAAAATCATTTTTATCATCCTCAGTCAAATCAATTGATTCAATAGGACCCTTTCTTGGAAAAGTTTCTAAATATTCAACATTTTTAGAATCAAGCAATACTGGATTTTGTTTGACCATATTATAGGAACATTCTTCTTCAAAATAATCATCTTCATCTTCCTCATCAACTTCTATAACTCTGACTTCTGTTATTTCTTCTTGTTCAGTATTATCTTGCAGCGGTCTATGAGTGGTATTCTCAGTTATCTGGTTTAATTCGTCAGTATTATCAATGTCATCTATTATTTCATCAATAATGTTACTATTTGTAACATTTACCTCAACTTCCTCTTCATCAGTATCTGAAAATTCTTTTTCGGATACAGTCACAGAATTTTTGGTATTTTTAATTTTATCCGTATTTTCATTACAATCAAAAGTAGATACCTCGGAACCATTAATTCCTTGTATATCTTTGACTGCATCGCAGACAAATTTTTCATAAATCAAATTCCTAGCTTCTGTTTCTTGTACTAATTCCACTGGATTTTTTTTATTTTCCTTTTGGGACTTATATTTCTGTAGTTTCTCCAATAAGTCATCACATGACCATCCTGTGTTTTTCAATAACTGTTGAATTGGATCATCAATATCCATTTTCCTTTAAATTAAATGATGGTACTGTTACATATCATCTGGACAATCTGATATTGATAAATACTAGTTATAATTGTTATAATAAAAGTAATTTTTGCATTTCTTTTAAAGGCATAAATATTTTAGATAACAACTACTCTGGACATTACATCCCCATTTAACATTGAATTACACCTGCAATATCTAGTAAACAACTAAAAGTAATTATCTACAGAATTAGCAGACATACCTAAACCAGTTTCAAATTTATTAGAACTCATATCAGTATGCCATGGATGAGATCTAGCTAATTAGATATTTTATACTGACATATTTTGAAGGGTCTGTAATCCACAGAGTAGTTGCTTCCTCAATATCAGTAGTTAAAAATATAATTTTTTCTAATGCAACACTAGTCATGATTTCATAATAGGTACCTATAGATTAGTACACAACTTGAAAATTTGAAAAAATTTTATAGAAAATTTCAATATTTCAGTATTTTTAGAACAGAATTTAATTTTGTTGTTTTTTTTTTTTAAGTAAAATCGATAAAATTTATCTCATTTAAAATAATATATAATATGTTGTTTATATTTTGTTATCTCTAAAGATTTTGAATATATTATAAAAGATGGCTTACAGTAAATTTTTAACATTTAATTTTTTTTTATGAAACAAATCATCAAGCATCATTTTACAGATATAAATGTTTCTTCTTATCTGTGTTAACATATTCTCCAATACTAGTAGGTAAATGGTCAGGCACGTAACCATGGAAAATTGGATCTTCTTTTATATTTTACATATATATATAATATGTATATACATATAATATGTAAAATTTATTACTTAATGTTCAGAACAAAAATAATTGAAGACTGTTTCAGAGACATATATCACACTTGTATTTATCTGAATAGAACATCCTATGTAATTGTATATATTTGGATAGATCACTTTCTTACGATAAGTGATCTGACATGTACCTATATCTCTAATAATAAATGAGATTTGGTCAAAAAATTGTCTGAAAAACTTAATGTATTTAGTTTTCTCTCCTCGATTGTAATAATAAGCTGCAGATAGAGAAATCATGTTTATGTTCTCTTATTATTGTTTTTTTTTTTTAAGAATTAATGTGGCAAGAATTATTATTATTATTTACGGTTATACATTAAAGAAGAAAACGGGAAAATCCATAAAATTTTAATACAGTTCATATGAGTATGAGTATGATGAGTCAGTGGAAGTAATTTTGCACCAAAAGTAATTAGCAATGTGGCTGATTATTTTTTTACAAATTCTTCAAAGTATGCAGAAGGTTAACATAAGAAAAAGTTCACTGGTCTATCAATTTCCCAGTCCAAACAAATTTTGAAACAATTTGATTTTCGAAATTCTTTAACATTTTGGACTGGAATCAAGAGAGAGAAAAATAAAAAATATTATCTTGTAGAAGTTGATGACCATGAAGTCATCTTCCGCGGGCAAACAAGCGAAAAAATTTCAAACTTAAGAATTGTCAAATTTCACTCAAATATTGAAAACATTAATATGTAGAAATGAATATTCGATCTTAATTCAATGTAAAAAATAAAAAAAGAATAAAGAAATTTTTCCAATTTTTTTTTTAGATTTTCATGGTAGTAAATAGTAAATACAAGGATATTTTTATTACAAAATCATAGGAAAACAATTAAATACAAAATTACATAGAATCATCGTTTTCACGTATACAGGGTCGGAAAGTCCCCATGGTTCATCGGCCGTTACGTGAGAACGATAAAGAAAGTCATAGAAATCCGTGCGATAGAGAAAGATGGCTATAATGAAGACGTCTAATAGTCACCGTCCATTTCACCCTTCCACAAATAAGATCCACTTCTTATTTGTGGAATGGCGAAATGGGCGGCGACTATTAGACGCCTTCATTATAGCCATCTTTCGCTATCGCACGGATTTCTATGACTTACTTTATCGCTCTCACGTAACGATCGATGAACCATGGGGACTTTCCGACCCTGTATGTATTCTATTTCCTACCTGGATACTTTCATGTCTGTTGACATTCTACTCTTTGAATATTCCTCTTCATATTGTAACAGTTTCAAATTTTATATTAAACGAACAAAGGAGATTTACACCGGGAACAGGAAAAATTTCTATTTTCTTATAATATACCAAAAATCATTAAAAGTGAAAAACGTTCATATGTTCATAACCAAATGAATTTATGCTTAGAGATTCTTAATCTGTGTAATTCCCGCAACAGTTTAAAAAAGTCTCATTCAAATTAGTTTAAGTTTTAATAAAGTTCCAGAGGCTAATATATATATATTTTGCCGTAAACTCAAGATTCTTAAAATTTTTCAAATAACTACAAGGGTTGTATTTCGTAATTGGATAACTTGAAAATGGGCTATCACAATTATTAATTTAATATCCTATAGCTATGCTACTTGTAGCAATAGTTTATGTAGAGCGCCGGGTTTCACAAAATAGGTTCTCACGCGGCTGGCCGAGATGGGGTGAAATTTTTTCCGGCCAAACCACAGCTCGGACGAAAAAAGTACAAAGTGTCTTTTTTGTTGGAAAAAACTTCCTCTACAAGGTGGTATTTTTTATTTTCCTCCATCTTCATCCCAGTCGAAAATATTAAACAATTTCGAAAATCAAAATTTAAAAAAAAAGTTTGGACGAGAATCGATAGACCAATGTACTTTTCCTTATATTAATCTGCATACTTTTTGAAAAAAAGAATCAGCCATATTGCTAGTTACTTGTTTCTGTGGCCTCAACCGAGTGAATAGTTCATAACTGCAATTTTAAATTAAAATTAAATAATTTTTTCATATTTCTGTTTGCTAACATCTATTAAACATAACACAATAAATCAAAAATCAATAATATGCATTTGTATATTTTTAAATATACCTACAACAATCCACAGGTTATAAAAAAATATGTAATATCAGTGTTTTATTTTCAGTTCTTTTCATAAACATATTCTTGAAAAACGAATACTTGTCTAAACATTTTTTTTAATTTAAAATTGGTTTGCTATTTATGGCAGGTACGTCAGTCTTTTAATTAACAGACTACAATTTTTTATATCAAATTGTAATTCCAGAAGAATTATTCTTTCAATTTTCCCGCCAAAGTGCTAGGTGACATCATCAAAATCAATTATTATTAGGAAAACTTCAGATTTTTCTTTCAAAATATCGAAAACCGATATATTTCTATATATTGCAAATAATTGGAATTTGTTTTTAAATTGTCTAATATAATAATACATATCAAAATAAAATTTTTAGTAAATATTCTACAATTTAGATACTAAAACGAAAATTTACTATTTTTGCTCTTTCCATAAGTATTAGAACAATATTATATTTTTAAAGAATTTTTTTCCACCTTTACACTATAAATATAAAAAGTTACAAGAAAATTTGTTATTAAGGTATACAATTTAAAACTAAATTAATAATTTTTAATTTTGTTAAAATATTAACTGTTATACCGTAATAGTAAAAAAAGTAAGGTTAACTTTACATTCGTTTAGGTTAGGTTAGATTAGTTATTACCAAAATATAGGTTATTATTATTTCCATAACAAACTAATGCATTCCAAAACACAACAAATTACATGTATATGTATGCACATCGCTAGATTAAGATTAAGATTAACGAAGATATATACAGGATGCGTATATTGCCATTAAATCTATTTTCAATAAATATAATAAATTTCATGGGTATCGTGAGGCCGAAACACCGAAATTAATAAAAAATATGTTAAAAACTCTATTTGACTATTAGTAACCCTTAACTAATCTATGAATCCATTGCAGATGTCTAGCTTTATTCTGAAGATTCAACGTTTGGGTAGAAACGTTTACTATTTACATTCAACCATGAATTAAATGGAAAATGGAATAATTTTAAAGGTGTACTTACAATTTTACACATTATTTGCACTTAACTTTATAGATTTTAGATATATTTTAACAGTTTGTTTGTATTCATGTTGTTTTAAGATATTTGCACATAGAAATTACGTGCGCCATGTTACTTCCATCTAGAAGAATTTGTGATAAATAAGATGGCGGCTAACTCCGTCCATAACGACAAACGCTAAAAATAAAATCAAACGTCAGCGGTACCAACTTAGTAATAATATCACAGGCGGCATCAGCTGATTTCAAGGTGGAAAGGCACCTTAGAGCATATACATGCTCAAATTCTAATCCAGGCATAGGTAGATATATCACGAATACGTTGAATACGCCGCATTAGTGGTGACGTAGCTAAATATGCAACCAGTGGTACGAGTACGAGTGTGAAGTACAAACGTAATAAGTATTCAAACTAATGTACGTATAACAGAAAATAAAAATTATAGTATTCCTTGGGAAATATTTATCACAGACTTATCTTAATAATGGATAATCTAAGAAATATTGTTAATATTTAAGCTACATATAGGTCAATTCGGCACTCAGCCGTTCCTGTTTCATTACTCCGCGCACCGCGAGACTCATCGGTGAAGTATTGTGCCGACTTCCGTTACATCTACTTCTGTACTTCTGACTGTCACCACGGTCACGTGTCACGTGCCTCATGGTCTTATCGTACTTGGACGTAAGGGGTTACTTAAAATCTGTTTCAACTGCAGAATCAGAATTAGAAGTAGGGAACTACTATAGACGTACCTAGGTACATAGATCTGATAAATAATCTAATTTATTATTTCTGATTTAATTTATATTTATGGTAGATAAAACAAGTCAAACTTGTAGATAATTTTAGGAAGAAAAAGTGAAGTAGGTAAGATTGGAAGCTGTGTGTATAATTATAAAGCACTATTCTGAAGAAATTTATAATTTGACGAAATACATACATAATATGTAAGTCTATCTAACTTAGACCAAAATACAAATGTGTTTAAAACAAGAAAAATAAATATGTGCTTCTTAGAATTGCAGACAGAAATGTGTATTAAAAACTTTAACTTCTTGCATCTCAAAAACGAAGCGACTCTGGTCCGGACACGTTAACCATCGTTAAAGTTTGGGCTAGTTAGATACCTTTAGGAACCTTGGTATCTTGGTCATAACTTTTTTAAATTGTAGTTTGTTACCAACAATGCAAGTGCGTTATATTTAAAAAAAAAATTGCAAAAACTTGTTTCCATTAAAAAATTATTCTGAAGGTATGTAATAACTTCGTTAATATTGACTTTTATAAGGTGTCATAGGAACTTATAGGTAGGTATTAGATATTATATTTACGAGTAGATTCCTGGATATACTGAAATACCTACATAATCGCTGCTTAAAGAGGAGATATAGTATGCGTGCGCACCGAAAATAATTGTTGCAATTTTCAATTCAATTATTAAAATTTTACTCGAATCTGTTGTTTTTTTTGTCGACATAAACCTATATATGGAAATATCTATAAACTCACAATGACATTCTACGACTTTATAGTGGCTTAACTAATATATTTTCTCAGTATATGTACTACATACCTAGGTATACTAACCTACGAGCAACAATGAGCCGACCTCAATGAATTAAGCTTGGCTTTTAGTGCAAATTTATCTTCCTAAATGATTAATAATGAAAGTGGAAGTAAAATACCTTGCTATATTTACATTTGAAATCTAATTCTACTTTTTTTATAATAATACAAATCTATAATAAATAGATACCTATGTGTGCAAAAATTAGTCGTTACAAAATTAAGAACGTACCTATATTTTTAACCGTTCTCCTGGTACTTACATGAAATTTTTAAGAATAAACATAATGCGTACATTATGCGAATTTATTTAAATGAAATAAAAATGGAAGATAAGATAAAAAATATCTACTTAGATACCTACCTATATTATGGCTGTTTTACAAAGTCAAAGAAATTCATAAATTTGTTGAAAGTAGCTAGGTAGGTATTACTATTAACAAGTCCACTTTTTGATTGCAACTACTCGGTAAATTTAGTTAATAAATAACTTCAACCGAATTAAGACAACTTGATTTTTATGGTAAACACTGATGTTGGCATTATATCGTTAAACCAAAATATACCTACCCAGAATTCTCCAAAAAATTGTTGAAAAATTGTAGCCAGTCCTATTTCCTATTCTTACAATTTCTTCATGAAATAATTGTCATTGATTTTGTATATTACATATAACAATTAATACAACGTAAAAAAATATCAATTTCTTTGACTGTAAAAAGGTAACTAATTTACTAGAATGTCATGTTTTCCTGTTACCTGCAAGCAAGTCAGAATCGAAATCGACAATGAATAATGAATATACATAGGTATGTATAACGTAGGTTTGCCAATCTTAAAAAGTAAGAGATTTCGTAAATAAACTTACCAGGAGTAGTTGCGAAATGCGTATCTATTTAACACATTTATTAGGATTTATATAAACAATAACAATAATCTTGTATTTCTACACATGTCATATGCAGCTGTGATAATGGCGGGTCGGATGTTCCGGTAAAAAGTGACAGCTATGTTTAAATATGGCGATAGTGTAAAAATTAAAAATGTAAATAAAAGTTTCATAGTCCATCGAGGCTTTTAATTTGTAATATTTTTATTAACTTCGACTTAGTTTATCAAATTTATAAATTGTAATGTAAATATATATATTATCTCCTTAGTTCCTTGTCCACATAAAACTTGGATTATAACCAAACAACAAACCGCATTTAGGTACATCAACAATGCAAACTTCGCTTGGTGAGACTCGTGAATTTTTAGTTACAGAAAATTAAAATTATACTTATTCCAGATTTAATTTGTACTGAATGTAACGACACGTTTGATTCTGCCTCATCACTACTTCAGCATTTTGCAAATCATGCCATTAAACATTTGCAAATTGAGATAACCTCAATACAGACTTCTGTAGACAGCAAGAAAAACAAAATACCGAATTTATATCCAATAAATATGATTTATGATACAGGTGTAAATGAAACAGACAGGGGAAGCGATTCAGGGATTGAGGATGTTAATCCTTTAAAATTTTGTTTAGTTACAATGGATGAGAAAGAAAAAATTAAGTCTAACGTTAATCAAAGACAACATGAAACTGACAATATCAAAAAGTACCAGTGTACGTACTGTTTGAAAAGATTCGGATGGTCTACAGATCTGAAAAGACATATTTTAATTCACACAGGTTTGTATATAATTTGTTTGTTTTTTTTATAGGAGTATGACGGACGTAACACTTTCTGTAATAATCTGACTGAACCATAAGAATGCTTACTTATTTGCAGTTTTTAGTCTATTTAAAATTATTCAAAATATTTTTCAGGTGAGCGTCCTTTTCAATGTCCTGACTGTAATGCATCTTTCACGAGAAATTTCTTGCTGCAGAAACACCAAAAGAAAATCCACCCTTCTCGCAGAGTTAACGAAAAGTTACCAGAACTTAGGCCTATTAGCGAAGTACTTAACCGAAAAAGAAGAAAGCAACAGAAATTTCTCATTAAACATAATATGACCTCTATAGATGATTGTCTGGGTAATTTCTTTGACCGTAAAACAAATAGTCTACTTTGTTCTAGTTAAATTAATTGTGCAATTCATTTAATACTTTATTACCAAAGATGTCAGTTGGCAATTTAAATTTTTTCATATAATGTGATTATAATAAGGTCCTAATATCATACCATTTCATTGTTCAAAAAAATGCGACTGCTAATGGTAAATTATTCATACGATTTATTCTGATATTAACTTAAGATTGGATACATATTTTGTGTTTAAAACAGAACTTATGATACTATTCTGTAGTGACGGTAAGCAATAAGCATAGGCGTAGCTAGGGGGAGGGGTAGGGGTGTGCATGGCCCAGCCCTGAAAGAAAGAAGATCCAATATCATCAAATTAAAACGTGTTTAGGTGTTTGAAATTTTATATCCGTAAATCAGTAAGTTGCTGATTGCTTTTTTTTTAGGCCTCCATACAGCTTGCAGCCATGGGCCCACCCTAAGCAAAAAAAAATCCCTGCTACGCCCATGACTGTAAGCAATGTTACCTACAATTTTTTTTTAAATTAATGTCATCAATAGAATTCCAAAATACTTAAAAAAGGAATTACTTATGTGAAACTTTACCTGGCGGTCATAAACATGGATCGGGATATGTTTTGTTCCCGAAATACAGGGTGTTCAAATTGAAATTTCCAAAAACTTAACTTTTGCAATTGAACCTCAGTTAATTTTTAAACAATGTTTTTCAAAATTTACTACACTTGTTACCAATAACAAAAAACCATCTACAAAAAAAATCTAAACTCCAAAGGCCTAAAAACTTTGAGTGACTTTTACTTGCAATCAACTTTTTTTATTTGCATTTTTCAACAAATTAAAACAGCTTCAACTAAATTACTTTACATCATTTGTCACTTGTCCGTTGAATATGGATCAGTGCAACAGAGATGAAAAATAAAAACTGGTTACTACCAACACCAAATTATTTCAATAATCGGAAACCAAGTGATCCCAACACTACTAATATTGAATTTTCAAAAAACTATAAGAATAATTTCTATAAGAATCACCGTTTTCATTTTTTGCTTATAGTTTGTATAATTGTAGGTATGTACTTTATAAAATAAAAATAAATATGTAGAACACATACATATAGCATTTCTCTTACATGTTTAATGGCATTTAAATTAATAATAATTTACATTTAGAAATGGAAATACATATACAGGGTGTCTCATAATTAGCTGCCAACCCTGAACAGGCCGATTCTATGATCAAAACTAAGTAAAAAAGTTCATATGAACATGGGTCCGGAAATGCTTCCTAAGGGCACAGGGACCCATTGAAGAGGGAGGAATGGAAATCATTTTTTTGCAATATCTCTCAATCGCGTTGTGATAAATGAATGAAATTTGGTATACACAGCTAAATTTTGATGAGCAATTTGATGGACTAATCCATTTATTTCCACAAGGTCCATTGGGGTGGGTACGGGGGGGCCCTTGGTACTTTGCGTGTGTAACTTTTTCATCTTTGACTTTTTAACAAATTGGACAGCAAATTCCGTTTTCCCGAACTGTTTTACGTTAAAAAGGTACTCTTGTTTCAAATCGTTATCTTTAACGGTTTCTGAGAAAATCGCTCTTGAATTAATCCCACTTTGGTCAATTTCATAGTAATTTAAACAAAAAAAATTTTTTTGTTTAAATTTAATCTAATTTTAATAAAAAAATAATAATAAAAAATTAAATTAAATAAAAATTAATCCTTTAAATGGAAAAGAGAGGAAAGGAAAATTATTATTATTTTTTTTTGTTTAAATTACTATGAAATTGACCAAAGTGGGATTAATTCAAGAGCGATTTTCTCAGAAACCGTTAAAGATAACGATTTGAAACAAGAGTACCTTTTTAACGTAAAACAGTTCGGGAAAACGGAATTTGCTGTCCAATTTGTTAAAAAGTCAAAGATGAAAAAGTTACACACGCAAAGTACCAAGGGCCCCCCCGTACCCACCCCAATGGACCTTGTGGAAATAAATGGATTAGTCCATCAAATTGCTCATCAAAATTTAGCTGTGTATACCAAATTTCATTCATTTATCACAACGCGATTAAGAGATATTGCAAAAAAAATGATTTCCATTCCTCCCTCTTCAATGGGTCCCTGTGCCCTTAGGAAGCATTTCTGGACCCATGTTCATATGAACATTTTTACTTAGTTTTGATCATAGAATCGGCCTGTACAGGGATGGCAGCTAATTATGAGACACCCTGTATTTTTCAATAGGTTTAGCAAAAAATCAATTTATGATTCTATTAGAATAAGTGATGAAAACACAAAATATGTAAAAGTGATAAGGATTAAATTTGTCAGAATATATGTACTGTAAGACCAAAAATGAAATGATATTATTAGTGACGTCAAACTTTTGTTTAGTTTTTTCATATTTTTTTTCCTTTGTCAAAGTATGTACTTATTTTTTTTTAAATGACGTATATTTACATAAAATGTTTAAATATCTTGTACTAGTTTGTGATTTTAACATGTGTGCTGTGTATTATAAATAATTTAATCAATTGTGCCTCCGTAAACTAGTCAAAGGGCCAAAAATGATATGCAATATATATAAAGATAACGTATATTATTTTTAATCGATCAGAAAACTGTAATATGTATATTCGAAGTTGTGGACCAAATAGTACATTTGAGAAAAATGTCATTTTAAAGACAAATAAATGTATTGTGTATTGTTATGTAAAAGTGAAAGTGCCTAATAACAATAAAAAAAATAAGTATAGCCATCATCTATTATTGTATTTATTTTGAAATATTCTTACAAATTCAAAGGTGCATTCAATATTTTGTATAATTAAGCATAACATTCATGAGAGGTCGATAAACTAGTTGTTCGGCATCTTTCCCAAATAAAAAATCAACGTGGTTAAACGACTCCAGTTTAACTTTGTACAACCCAACTAAACTTGAAATGTTTGTAGCTAGTTGTTGGACATCCTGAAACGTTATCCAAAATTAATGTTATAAAATGTTCATAGTGTAATGCTAATATTTTAAAGAAACGTTGAAAAATCTTACCACATAACTAGCCAGCCAATCATTTTCTCCATACATCATATATACAGGCGTTTTCATATTGTTTACTTTATATTTCGGTGGTGTTGCAGTGCCATACGCAATCAAATTACCATTAATTCCATAATCATATTGTTGAAAATTGCCACCGTTTTTAATTTCCTGCGCGTAATGGATTATCGTTTTAGTAGATGTACCCGCAGGATCATTTTTGAGGATGAGAGGTAACATTTTCTACAAAAAATGTTTGTATGAAAGTTCGAAATTGATTCTATAAGTAAAGTATATATTTATACCTGATTAAATTGTGCTTTATCAAAACCACATAAAGCAAATATAAAATTTTCGCAAATATTCTTGTCTATTTCAAACAATTCGCAGTCATAAGCTAAAAACTTGAGTATTTTATTATTTGGTAAAAATTGATTTAATCCCAGATATTTTGCCAACCACTGCAAAAAAAAATAGTTATAAAGCAACTTTGATTAATATTATCATAAATGTGTGTTTTACATAGCGATGGCTCGTGAAAATTAAAGTGATCAAAATTTGATAATGAAGCGTGAGATCCATACTGATTTTTTTAATGATTTCTAGAACCACATTGGGAACTTTTGTGATGAATTTCGAAAAAAATTACAATGGGGTGGCTAACCCTGAGATCTTGGTTAATATCAAATTGAACTTTAAAAATACATACATCATTATGAGCAAAAATTTATTTATGTGTCGCAGGGTCAACTAGTTTGATCAAAAAATAAGTATGTTGTATTGTGTATTGAGTTGACTCTTTTATTTGTGTATTCGTAGCACTTTAGTGAGGCAATGAGTAAGACAGTGCAGCATTCAAAATGTTAAAGTAGGCCTTTGGTGACGATATTATGTTACAGCCGGGATTTTATTAATGATAAAATATATTCGTTGACATAAGTGTATAATACCGCAGGGCGATTACTTTGAAGGGAATGGGATAAAAATATAATATCCAATAAATATTTTCTGAAAAAATTAACAATTCCCATAACTTTTGATCAAACCTCGTATTTTAAGAAACTTTATGCAATTTATACTGGTATTGAGTTTTAAAGATATTTTTTATTTCTCTCTAGGGAATTATTACACACGAAATATAACTCTCAGTCTGCCTCCAACGGTTACTAAAATAACAATATTATTGCGTCCAATAAAAAACACCCTGTATTGTAAATGAGCTTTCAAAATGGTATCACAATCTTCATGGTAACACTAACCTGAAAATCAGAAGAAAATGGTGCCAAATATTTTATTGGAGACTTTATATGTGTCATATAACCCACTGGTGCTAAGGCGATCATTAGTTTGACATTTTTTGATACTTCATGATTTAGGGAGGAGAGTACAAAGAACATTGTTGTTCCCATCGAGTGTCCTATATAAATAATTTCTCTAGGTTTCTCCGTGATATTGCTTATATGATATAAAGTGGCTGGCAAATCATGCATTCCCATTTCGTGCCAACTGCAACATACAAAAAATAAATCACTATTTTATAATTATAGTTGAGATAATAATTACGAATGTTGTACAAATAACAGTACATCTAGTCGATAGTCATCATATGTCTTTTTCTTAATTTTCCATTTAACAAATGTACCACATTTTATTTAAATGGAGGGAAATAATTTTAAATCTAACAAATATTAATACTTTCTAGAAACTGTTGCGGAAAATAAGTATTTTTTTCATATTTACTATTTTTACCACTTCTGGTTAAGAATAATACATATCTGTTTATTTCTATAGTGCCTTTATTTTTTAGAATGAAATTTAATGAATTTTAGTTTAGTAGATAAATATTTAATTTTGTCCAAAAGTAACATCTTATTATAATTTTTATATTTATCTTATTTTCAGGATTCAACTTTTTATTTAAAACTAAAATCAAATGAATCAAATTTTGACTTCTTACTTAATTATTAATACCAAGTATATTTTATGTAAAAATACCGAAACTATAATAGCTTTCAATGTAAGAGTGAATCAATTCAATAAAATTATTTTTAATATACAGTATTACCTACCTAAAATTCCAAAACTTAGAATTTTCTTTAGGTATAGAAATATGAGCTTTTGAATAAGTATTGCCTCTTGCATTTCCCAGCCATACATCGTAACCCTGGTCAGCCAGTAAAAAACCTAAATATCCATAACAGAAATTAGTTTCTAGGAAATACTTCAAGTAAGTTAAGATATCTACCTAGAGAGTTATTTCCATTCATTAACCAATCTGCGCTACTTCCTAAAAGCCCATGTTGGAGATACACAGGTTGGCCACCTCGTTTGCCAGACTTAGAGCCAGGTATTCTATGGATTTCTAACAAATAACCATCATCTGTCGTAATTATATGCGTTTCTGATGGATACCCATGTCTAGCAATCATTTGTGGCTAAAACATTAAATAGAAAAAAAATCGCACTAGCTACAGATAAATGTATTATACAATATAAATGTCACCCCTATTTTCTCCGTTATTCTTCGATATAAAAAAAAAGTGTGGTACTAAGAGTTGTAGGAAATGTCTTAAAACTAATTTCTATGTAGCAGAAATACTTAGTTAATTTTAGGCTAATTAAATAAAAATAAAATTGGAAAGATTTTCCTGTCAGATTTTTTTCAATTTACCATCAAATTCATTTTTTCAAATAGGACCATCTCTTAAAATACATGTTTTTAATTCTGCAATTACTGATTTACTGCACTTGTGATGTTTTAATTATATTTTCGGACACATTTCATCGCCTTTCATTAAAAAAGGAAAAATAAACTTGTGTAATGTTTTTGTTATTAAAATAAAAAATTAAGCAGCTACAATGAATTAAATAAAAACACTCACTTGAACTACAAAAATTATTCAAATGCTATAAGCTTTTGATTACTATGTTTATTTCACGAATCTCGATTAAATAAAATATATTAGAATAAGTCGGAATAAGCTGGAATATGAAAAAACAAAATTAAAAAATTGTAGTACACAATAAAAGTAAAATATACTGGGCCTTTCGTTTTTCTAATACACTAGGTCTTGTTTGTAGTGGTACTTCGTATTTCTGTCACTAGCTAGCATATTTGTTAATAAATAATAATGCATGGAATAATTGTCTGAAGCTTTGTCGTGGACTTAAAAAACACCTTGTTTAATGAAATAAAAATTGAAAAATTTAAAGTTTATAAGTAGGTAAAATAAAAACTTAACTAATTCTTTGATAGATTTAATGAAGAAACACATTAACGATTAAATAAATTATAACTACGCTAAAGATACAAAAAATTTGATTTGGATAATATATTACTTACCACATTTAAATATTCGTCAGGATTATAGAGACAATCGTAATTATTTTTTAACAACGCTTCAATTCCATTGCACTTATTATAATTAATTGTTGTCCCATAAGTAAATACTACGTTTATAAATGTTAATATTATTATATCAAGTAACATTTCATTAAATCTGTAATTTTTTTCTATTTAAGTTAGTGGAAAAAATATGCAGTGTTGGATGAAATTTGGACTGGATTTATGACTAATCAGTAGGCATTTATTTGTATAAAGCAGAATAACAACTTCTTATCAACCAAAATGACTAATTTGTAATATAATTTTGATGAATAAAATTATGTAAATACCGACACTATGCCCCTGGTAAATGGAACCATAACCTCAATTGCTCTTTTTATCTGAAGAATTGATTATTGAACAAAAAAAAAACATTAAAATATTATGTTTATTAAATTTTTCTAATTATCGCACACCAATTTCCTTGATCATAATAATTTTTGAGAATTTCTAAATTATTCACTTTTTTACATAAATCATCCAATTCTTTTTCCTCAAAGACGTGATAATATCTCAAAAATGTATCGTCTGAATGATACTGATTCTTTAACTTCCACGGCACTAATAAGTCACTATGTTTAAACTGTGTCCTGTTTGTATGAACTGGTAAAGAAATTCCATTCAAAACTGTCACTTCCTGATTCGTTTCTATATTAGTTATAATTGGTTCGCTTCTCCGATTTTTTCTATCTTGTTTTATGTAACTGCTTTTTTCCTTATCCTTACATTGATCTTTTGCCCAAACATATATTAGAGCCCTACCACCAATAGTTAACACCCTTGTTATTTCCCTTATTGCCTGTAATCTTCTATCCTATAACATAATTTAGATATCGAGCAATTCCAAATATCATGATGCTTCAAAAGTATACCTCATTTGACAGATGATGTATAACGGCTATACTAAGAATGCCATCAGCAATATTATCTCTTAGTGGTATATTTAAACAATTACTGACAAACACTTCGAATCCTCTGTCTTTACAAATATTGATCAATCCTGAACTTTGATCGCAACCCACCTGTAATACAATTAACAATTTTATGTAAAGTTAACTATCATATACTGAATTTCATATTCTACGCAAGATTCAATTGAAAAAACTGTATACTTTAATGTATGCCTTTGTATATTTCATTGAATATTGCTGAAAACTGCTCATTCGCTAAAGCTCATCTAAAAAGATGTATTATGAAGATTTAACTCACACCAAAACTATTCTTAATTTGACCGAGATATTTTCCATTGCCACATCCAACATCGATTAATATAGATCCAGTCTCAAATGACTGTACGAACTCCAGTACGTTTGGCCAAGGTTTATGCCTAGTATCACTAAAATGTGCAGCGATGTTTTCATAAATTTCATGTACATGTAGTTTTTCTAACTGAGAAGCGTTTATGTTCTCTATAGCAGATTCGGCTGCATGTTTTTTATAAGAATCACATTTCGATTTATAACTACAGTTACATTCACCTTGCAAAATTTTTCGAAAAGTGAAGGATGTTCTCAATCCTGAAAGTATATAATGCTATTAACATTGTAAATTTTTAATTATGTACAATACTTTTGATATGAAAGATATATCTTACTAACCATTTAAAATTATAGGCCTGTTGTGTATTGCTAGTAGCACCACAAATTTTATATAATGGGGTGTTTGCCACCTTTTTAGATATTTATGAAGTTAGTTCTTCATGGGATAATTAACTACTAGATATTAACTATCTTTTATTATATTTATTTTTCATTTCTAGGCAGAAGAAAGTCTGAATTAAGCATTCGGTTTCGCGTGCACTTCTTAGCAACGGCAGACAAAAGGCCTATTGAGACAACATATTGTTAATAGTATTTGCTTACCTCTTGCCAAGCTGGTGAAACTATTATTAGAATGGATTATGTCAAATTTTCTTGGTATTATCCCATGTGTCCAATTATATCGACTCTCACCAGATATAATAGTTAAAGATCTATGAGGTAGAAGAACACATATATGTTCTTCATCGTTTTTAAATTCCATTACAACTGACGACTGTAATGATAATGATATTATAGGATCTTCAAAGGCACTATGTGTGTCTATGTGATGTGGTATTCCTTGCCCTGAACTGTACTGATTTATGGTTAATTGGTCAGGTCGAAAATTCAAATTATATGTTTCCTGCAATCGATCCCATAAAAATTTACACTGATTGGGAATCGATTCCTTTAATGGTTTGTCTTTGTCTATATTATTGATGTCATATCTGAATTCATATCCATAATGCTTAACTTGTCTATTTTTCATTAAACTCAAATTTTCTTCAAAATTACATAATTTCAACAACTCTACTTCCTCATCAACAGAAATAAAATTTTGTAAAATTATTAAACCAGGCGGTAATTTATCCCATGTTATATTCGATTTAACTTTTGGCAAGATTCCTGTATATAAGAGATATACAGGTTTATCGTCTTGGGCAATATTTAATTTGCCATTACAATTTTCAAATGCACGACATGCCGAATTAATATTTTGATATGACACGAAGCTGCAAGATTTTCCTGGAAGTAATAATATGTTTTCTAGAGAACCATAGTTAGAAAAATGTTCAAAAATTATTTCTTCTGACAATCCATTAACTAAACCAGAGTTGGCAATTACTAAATTCTAAAAAAAACATTTTCACTATTATATACAAATAAATTAGATTTATTACTTTTGTTGGTTTTGAATCACAATGTAATCCTGTCTCTTTAAATACCGTATGCTGTAACTTTTTTAAATTTCTTTGAATTTTTTTAATTTTATTTATTGCATCCATACTTTTATCGTTTTTAAGTATATCTGGAAAAATTATTAAAATTGAAAATACAGAAGTATAAAATAGTTCAAATGAAGAACTTTTTGGGTTTCTTGAAATGAAATATTTCAAAAAGACAAAGAGGTTAGAAACATGAAAATATACATAGATCTATAATAGTATAAATCTATGTCTATGGTCTATGGAAATTTACATGTTTTGTAGTGGAAATGGTATACAAGAGGGAGGGTCTTTCGATTTGGTAAAAATAGTAACTCAGTAACTGATAGTAGCTATGCTCGAAGGTAGCTAATAACTTGGAGTTACTCTGAACTGATATTAGTTGCTAATAAGTACTATTTTTGCCAAAACGAAAGCCCTCAAGGTATACAATAGCTTTGTTCGTAAACCTACACAACGTGTAGTGTAGTGTAGTGTAGTGGATTTTAGTGTTAGACTAAAATAATAATTGTGCACCACTTTTAGAGAAAACATTTGGCTGTTCGTTAATTCAATTTGTGTAAACTTAAACTGGCATAACCTAATTGTAAATCAATGAGAAAATATTTGTGATGAGTGAATTATTTAGTGACTCTGGAAGCGAATAGGAATCAGATGATGAAGATTACCTTCGTAAAAAAAAAAAAATTCATGTTTTATTGGAGACCTGTTTCCAAAAAAATAAAAGAAAGTGCATTACAAATTTTATAGAACTTGTTCGAAACTGTGAGGAAGACGAATTTATCAGCCATTTCAGAGTAAAATCAAATATTGCCAAATTTTTAATGATCTATCTAAAATATCTACCAAGATGTGACATTTGTGATAAAAGTTTCATTTTCGCGCCACAAATATACTACACTACACATTCACACCACCTAGTTAGCCAATGTAGTAGTGTCTGCACTATTACACTACACTGGACTTTTCGAACACCTGGATTATACCTGCACTTGGCTACACTGCAATAAACGAACAACGTATTACTACACTAGTGCAGCAGTGGAAGGTTTACGAACAAAGCTAGTGAGTGAAGACGGTGAAGACTGAAGACTGGGACTGGGGGGCTTTTGATATGGTAAAGATTGTAGATGTCAGTAGCTAATAGCAACTTAGAGTTACTCTGAACTGATATAGTAGTATTATATGTTTTGTGAGTACTATCAGCGTAAAAATATCATCTGATACTATTTTTGCCAAAACGAAAGACCCCCCTCGTGTTAAAAAAGTGAACCATTTCTTGGGTCACATGTTAATAAAGGCATCTATCTCCCCATGCTAACCTCTAGAAATCAAGGTTAAATCAAGTCCGTTTACACCCACTATAAAAGCATTTCCCTATTCCCTACCAAGTGCAAAAGACAGAGATAGAATATAGATCGACGTTCAGTGTAACTCGGTATCTAGACGATTATAGATTCTATCGATGTGCGTAGCGAGCGGCACAAAGATAAATAATATTGAACCGTATAGAAATCATTTTATATTTTATACGCATTATGGTAATAGTGTTTTTATATTATGTATTATCACTCTTTATAATTTCGGCCGCCGAATATAGTTTATTGTATGTTTCAGGAACAGCCAAGACCAAGAAGAACCAAAGAAGAGACAAATTACAAAAAACTCGCCCCTCGTGGAGCCGCGGAAAAACTCAGCGGTGACCTTGACGTATCCTATTCCCGCATCGGCCGCGAGTCACCAACTCAAAGGACGCGTGCATTCCCTAGCTACAAGCCATTCCCAAAAACCCACTCATCATGACGACAACTCCCTGGGGGGCTAGACAAGCCGGCAAAGAAAGAAATATCATGGCACGAAGAGCGCCAGAAGAGGCTCCCCTGCCGACGGGGGTCAGTCAGGGGAAGAGGAGGTCCCACAAAGCGCCTACATCGGCCATGGTCGAGGCAGACGATGGACGGGGCCCACCTTCACAAGGCTCCCAGGCCTACAGAGATAAGGCAGGACAAAGAGGGATAGTCCCCCTCGGTCCCAAATTATCGAGGCCACGCTTAACGCCAAAAATAATAGCGCATAAAGGCGGCGCTGATGTATGTAAGTAGAGTATGAAAAAGACGTTTGCGACAATAGATTTGACGTGGATTGGACAGTATACTATGGATGGAGCCAAAGCTGACTTTCATTGTTGCTATTTCAACATGTAAAGGCAACAGCAATTTGCCCTATATTACGTGACCGAGGATACAAACCGCGCGACATTGATATATTTCTGATTACAAAATTGACTCTTTTGGTGGTAACATAACTATAAAAAAAATTACTGTCAAATCTATATGTAAAATACTTAACACCACGTAATGGATATAACAAATTGCGCGTATTAATAATAAGCCTATCACGTGACGTCAGACTAGTTTCATCTCACTTATATCTTGGTCCCTTACCTCTCCTCTACATTTCATCCAAGTACACTAGAGGGAGACTTGTGTAATCTCCATGGTACACTGTCAAACAAATCGGTGCGCGCCAAGGATATTTATAATACATGTATTATAAATATCCTTGGGTGCGCGCAACGTTATAAGCGCAACTTCGTCTGTAGACTCTCCAGTGCATCAGCGCTAGAACGGTAACTCCTTGAACTTTACTTTGGATCATAAAACGGGTTTCAAATTTGTATGCGCGGCGCGCGGCCCACAAATCTTCACTCCCTGTCGGAACTTCATATCTACATATTCTTCTTAGGGCCTTTCGATTTGGCAAAATATAGTAATTATTAGTTGCTAATAGCAACTTAGAGTTACTCTGAACTGATATTAGTTGCTAATAGTTACTATTTTTGCCAAAACGAAAGCCTCCCTTATTGTAGGCAACCAACTTTGACTTTGATTTTTGGGATTAAAGAACAGATTTACATCATTTGATTTTTTTCACTTTTCTTATAAGTTTATGCGGTGATAGATATTTAAGATTTATGTTCAGTTTTACATTAAAAATTGCTCATTATCTGTTACTTCGTGTATTATAAGGTCAAAAACATTATTTATCTTAAATCATTTTTATAGTGATTTCCATTGATGCACTGAGTGCGCATTCGGTGTATCTCCATCCTGTATTATCTAGCGATAATAGATGGAAATATACTCGGTGCGCACTCAGTGTGTCGATGGAAATCGCCATTACATTCAACATTTGTATCGTTTTCTGCATCATACAGGCATTATGTATAAAAGGACTATAAAGTATAGTAAATAATACCAAATAAAAGACAACTCATTTTATTATAACACAAATAAGAACATAATTTTAAATCTCTGTTTTGGAAATTTACACAATTTGTATGTAGTAGTAATTCTCGCTTTATACATTTTATCTTATTTAAAATATATTTGGGAATGAATTCGGTTTAAATTGTGACAAGTGATTCAATAATATTCGCTTCCTTAGTATTAAGTTTGGAAAGCTTGAATTTTTGAACTGCATGCTTTTTTCTTGGTGGAAGATATACATCTTTGCTTATGAATCTTTTTGTTATTTGCAACTTTATATTTTCCAACTAAAGAGGCTGATGTTCTCCCATCTACTGTTAAAATGGCCGATATCGGAGTAATAGCTCGTTTAACAATTTGGAGATCTTCGGAAGAAGTGACTTTGCTCATAATTTTCATAAACTGTTTCATTACCTTTTCCTTCTCAACCTTAAAATGTCCCTCAATATTAATATAATTTTCTGAATTAATTTGACTAAAAACCTCTACAATTTTCACCTCATCATTAGTTTTCAACCCTTCCTCTTCATTTATTGTTAAATTGTGGGACTCTACACCTGTTGCATTAAAATAAATGTTAAAATATATCACAATATATGACAAAAGCACAATAAGTAAGCAAACCTGTGACAGTTGGTGGAAATAAAAGCGATCATATTTCAATATTGAAGTGTGGGATCCAAATCGTTTTAAGATTTTTTTCATATTATTGACACATAGAACGTGGCAAAAAAAATCCGATAACCTGAGAGAAAAGGTTGTACATATATGTACATATTTTTTTTGCAATTAGATTTTTTATTTTTGAAAAATTTAAATTTTCACATTTAAATTTTGATATGAAAGCGTCTATAGTATTTATGTTACGAAAACATTTGTTGAAAGTATATGTGAAATTCTTCGAGATCTTTAATCGAATTTTAATTTTCTTATGTTACTTTTTGTTCAAAATATTTTTGTTATAAAAATAAATATGACCACTTTAATTTTCACCTGCTGCCATTCAAGCATACACAAAATAACATCAAGAGGACTAGCATTTTAAGTAATGTCGGAAAATATAAATGCAAACTCAAAATAGCAGCAAAGCTTTTAACACTAAGTAATGCTAGAAAATATAAATAATCATACCAGGCGCATCTAAAGAAACAGAATCTCCTATTCTCCATAAATTGATGCTGGCAGCATCATTTTCATGTTTTGCTGTATCTTTGTTTAAATTATAAATCTGTTGAATATTATATAGATCTTTTTTAGTAAGTAAATGAATCCTTTTAAGATCATTGCATATGGAATCTCTTGTGTCATTTAATATATAAGAAAAAGGCACACGTGCTGCAATTTTTTCTGCTAATTGTTGCCTCTCAAGCTTTGTTAAACTTAAATGTTCCAAATCATTAACATGGCCAACGTGTGTGATTAGATATTTAACTTCACACGTGTTATTGCTTTTAAAAAACTTTAGAGACATTTCTGCTGGGCAATATCCATTGATCTTATTAGATCCTTGTCCTTTTAAATGTCGTAAATTATTACCCTTTTTCTTATAATAGCCCGTCCTGTGACATACATACACCGTTTTTGTATAAGTGTCTGAGACATATGTACCATGTTGACTAACGAAACATGAATTAGTTTCCATTTCGAACAAGCTTTTCCATTCATGAAACTCATCCAAGTTGTTGAATTCCTTAGTATAAGAATTACAGATTATGTCATGAACACAGTGATAATGAGAGATTAACTGTAACTTTGAGGAGTTCTCGTAATCGCAGAGAGGACATTTTAATTTAAATTTTTTACTATTACTATCTATTTCTGCATGAATTTTTTTATGACTCTGAAAATGCCTCAAATACGTAAATTGTTTATTGCATCCATCATGATCACATTTATAGTTATACACTTTGGGCACAATTAGGTCATTTTTTTTATCTGCAAATTAGTCCTGCCTTAGATATTTTTTAAATGTGAACTTAACTTATGATCAATATGAACTTACCATAATGAAATTTTTTGATATGTTGTACTAAATTTGAGTATTTGCTAAATGATTTACCACATTGAGTGCATATTTCAACACTGCTGTATTTTTTAACCGGAGCGACTTCTTCAAGTTCATCTGCCAAAAAAGAGGAAAATAATTAAAAAAGACATACATATACATATATACACCTATTTATTACTACAGTATATCAATAAAACTTACCAGAATGAAATTTTTTTGCATGCCTTCTTAAATTGGATTGTTTAGAGAACGTAGCTAAACAAATTTTACACCGTATCATTGTTTATTCAGTTATACTAAAAAGTAAGTATCCCTATAATATATTACCTACTTAAAAATAATATGCTTCTGTAGAGAATTTAAAGCAAAACATGCATAATGTTTATAAAAATAAAAGGTCGTTTCCAGAACCATTGATTTTATAAACTACAAGCCAGTTTAGGGAGTAAGCCACGCTGTCAAATGAAATAAGACAAACATGTATACAGAGACAATAGATAACTACATGTATATGTACTACTAATTACAGTATCTATGATAATACTGAAGCTTGCCCACAAATTTTATTCTTTGTAGGAATTGTAGGCCATGATCTGGAACACATCATCATTATTATTTATAACATTGATTACTTAAATACATTTAAAAATATATAACTTTGGTCCGCCCCCCTAAAACGCATCACCCTGTACACGTCAAATTATTTTTAAAATGTGTTTTTCTCGACACCAATTATGAAATACTTTCCCTCAATTATATTCTAGCGATAAATCAACTTTGCCATAGCGTTGACTCACCCTGTATATATCTGTGTACTAGCTACACCACAGATCTTCTCTGGCTACACATTATGCAAGTGCCATCTACCAATCATCAAGTGCTAATCGTCTATTAAATAATTATAACCGTCTCGCTTTTCCTCTCAAATCATTGGTCTATGGTGTGTTATAGGTTTTGTGGTCTGTGGTGGGTACATGGTATATGGTATATGTCATTTGTCGGACGACGGACGACAGCGTTGTGTGGGATTGTGTGCCTTGCCTTTGCATATTTTTGTGTTATGTGATGAAAATGGCTGGTCTATTATCGAATGATATTTGGAAAAATTGGGAAAAAAACGGAAAACAGGAATTGTAAGTGACCGGAAATTTGTTTGTTTATAATAATTCTGTTGTGTTTTTTAGTTTTAGTTCATTCACCTGAACTTTGTTACATCGTAGTTATTGTTTTAGAGCAGTTTTTGAGATATTTAACGGTACCTTTTTCATATATTTTTGTTCAAGTATTGTCAGTAACAGTAACTATTATTTATTACGTTTATAATATATTTAGCTTTTGCTTTACAAGTATAATGTTAAAGTTCCTAAATACATTGAAACATGGTGTGTTTCATGCATCGACTTCAGAAATCATGAAATCTGGCATCTGCCTCAATTGGTCTACATACAGTGAAATTTTATGTGTTTACTTGGATTTAGTATTCTAAATACATGGGGTAAATCATAAACGATTTTCGTTGTAACTATCACACATGCTGCAACTTGAGTTTTGAATTGCAGAAGTTGATGCTGCCGTTGTTGCATGTTTCAGTGTGTAGGGGGATGTTACTGTTATTTATGTATTAAATTATCATAAGTAGATGATTTAAATTGATGTAATTCGGTACTTATAATCAAAATATTGCAATACTACGTAGCTTTCATGTTTCATAGCTGTAGTTAAATGGATTAATTTTTTACTTTAACATTTTGTAAATGTAATGCCAGTTATACAATCTAAAATTTTTCCAGTGTAAAGACATGCATCCAGATTTTGAAGGATGAATCAAAGACTCCTTTATTTGATAGGAGTGGTAATTTGACCTGTATTGTTAAATACATAAATGATTTGATTGATAAAGGAGTAAAGGGAATATTAAAGAAGGAGTCTGTTGTTTCTACATTACAGGAATTGGTGGTAAGAGTGTGTTTACATTATCCTATTACATCTGTCAACTTAGGACACACTTAACATTTAATACAGTTGATTGTGGGTTATTCACAGTGAGAGTACTTTTCTCTTAACAAACTATTTACCAAATTAATGAATTGGAATTGTACATTTTTAAAAATAATTTTGTGTTTTTCCTTGCACCATTAATAAATCTCTGATAAAATTACATATTAAAATGCATTGTTCCTGAGAAAAATGAATTTCAATTTTCTACTGCACGTAGATATCAGTTTTGGAAAACCGAGTGTTTGGGGGATTTACATTTGATTAAACATCACGTTCTTTCTAAATATAAAGTTTTTTACAATTTAGGCCAACATACCTCTATTTGAAAGTCAACATCTGTCGAGATTATACTACTTGAGTAATTTTTCGGGAAATTAAAATAAAGAAAAGCATCTTGCTTGTGGTATGTAGTCTAGATGTCGTAATACTAATTATGTATCAGTGTGGATGAATATTATATATGTTCATTATTTTAAGAAAAATATTTCAATGGGAGAAAAGTAATTTTTAGTTTTATCTTTATATTATAGTAAAACATTGACTTTCTCTTTCTTGGCTTTCCTTTTAGAGACTGTTTGTGCCCATCATTACTCCAAATAAATATGCTTAGTTAGAAATTTTATAACACATCTAAATGTCAATACTTCATTCCTTAAAAAAATATATCCGGGTTTTATATACAAAATACTTGTTTTTTTTTTAGACTTTACATGCAGATATTCCTTCAATAATACTGGACATTTTAAATGTGGAAGATGCAGTTTCTTCACAAATAGACAGTGAGGAATTCAAAGATAGACAGAATTTCTGTGCAATTGTTAAAGAATGCGAGAAGGTATGTTTCTTGTAATATAACTTACTAAAATAATTGCTTTATGCACGATATTTTAAAATATTGAGATATTTATAAAAGTATTTTATTTTTTAGTTTTTATCAGACAAGTTGTTAAAAGAGCGACTGGAAATAGATACTCTTCAGGAGGTGGGAATATTAAAAAACAGAACATTTTATTCCAAGTTCATTAAAGTTAAAACTAAGTTGTAGTAAGTATCGCTATATCTTTATTTTATACCAATGCACAGTTAATCAAGACACTTTAATACTGTGCTAAATAATAAAAATCATTCAGACTATTCCTGTTATGAAAGATAAAAACAGGAGTTTTGAAAATGATATACACATAATAATTATTTCTTATATAGTGTTATTTTGAAAAAATACAATTTTGTAGTTGTTTTTAATTACTCTTTTTCTTTTGCAGTTACAAGCAACGCAAGTTTAATTTGTTTCGCGAAGAATGCGAAGGATTTGCGAAGTTGGTAACTGAACTGAATAATGAATTTAATGAAAATACCGATCCAAACGAACTTATTGCAATTGTGCAATCCTTAATAGGTATGTAGGTATATGTCTGTAAAAAAATATTTTCTTATTTTTGGTTAAAGAATTATTTTTACAATTTTATCGGAATATTGCTACACTCTATATATTGTATTCAAGCATTAATAAGAAAGGTAGACAAGAATAATGATTGCTATATTTTCAGTCCACCTATCTAACATACCTATATTTTTGATATAGAAAAACATTTTTTGATTTCGTTTGATAGGATTTTTATAAATACTTGAATTTATTTAAATTATTTGAATACTTTTAAAATAAAGTAAAAATACAGAAAGCTAATAATAATATGCATGTTATAAAAAATATTCCCCTTCTCTCTATCTTTAAATTTTAGGTTGTTTCAATTTAGATCCAAATAGGGTTTTGGATGTAATATTAGAGAGTTTTGAGAATAAGCCAAAGGATGCTAATGTATTTGTTCCTCTCATTAATTCGTATATGAACGATCCCAACATTATAAGCGAGGTTTTGTCAACAAAATTTTCATTTCTGAAGAACACCGACCAAGAAGTACCTCAATCTTTGTATATATTATCCGCCCAGTTGTTGCAACATAAACTAATACAACTGGATGACATATATTTTTGGGTAAGATACAAATTACTAATTAAATTCGTTCAGTTTTATATGAGACGTAAATTCTAGTTGGCACCGGAAGACAAAGTAATGCAAAAGGATTGCGAAAAGAACTTGAAAGATGCTAGAGAGTACGTGCGGAAGTTACAGATTATTTCCATCAGTAACAAGGACAAAGAGGATACCCCAGAAGAGCCAGATAGTATTCTTGACAAATATGCAGGAAACCAAAAATTGGGGTTGTGCGAGGCTCTTTTGTTGATTGGTGATTGGGAGACCGCCCATATACTTATTAAACGTTTACCTGACCACTACGCTGTAGGATATGAGCCAGTGGCAGCAGCGCTTTGTGATTTATTACATCACGTGATAGAACCAGTTTATAAAGAGTAAGTGAAATTTAAGACCTTAGTACAATTAAGATATTAAAATTAATATTTTTTACCCATCATTTTATCCCAACAATACGAGGGTGGTCTGAAAATATGGCAGCACTCGTAAATAAAAGGTAGTGAATTTCGTTGTTCATCTGTTGACGGTTACTCACCAAAGTTTTAGCCATTTTGGACGCGCAGTTGTTATGTAACAGTCGTTTGAGTGAGTTGATGTGTGTTTTTATGAAAATGGACAAAATCGAGTATCGAACTGTCATTAAATATTTGTTTTTGAAAGGAAATACGCCTATGCAAATCAAAGATGAGTTGTATTCTGTGTATGGGGACTCTGCACCATCATTTACCACAGTGAAATTTTAGGCAGCTGAATTTAAACGTGGCCGTAAGAGCTTGGGAGACGATGAACGTTTGAGACCTCCAAAAACTGCAACTACCGATGAAAACATCGCCAAATTAAAGTGAGAGAGATAGTAGAGGTTATGAACATGTCAAGAGAACGTGTTTGTCACATATTAAATCAACATTTAACATGAGAAAGCTGTTTGCGCGTTGGGTGCCGCGTTTGCTCACGTTAGACCAAAAACGTGTTCTAATGAACATTTCCAATGCTCTGTTGGTGCAGTTTAGGCGCAATAAATCCGAGTTTTGGCGCCAATTAATTACTGTAGATGAAACTTGGATACACCATTATACGCCCGAAACAAAGTCCAAACAGTGGACTGCAAAGGGGGAACGGGCCCCAAAAAAAGGAAAAACTGTTTTTTCGGCTGGAAAAGTGATGGCGACAGTTTTTTGGGGTAGTCATGGAGTTATTTTAATTGATTATCTTCAAAAAGGAAAAACCATTACAGGAGCATACTACGCATCATTACTTGACAAGCTGAAGGCAGAACTTGCGGAAAAACCGCCACATTTGCAGAAAAAGAAAATCCTGTTTCACCAAGACAACGCACCATCTCACACCTCAGCGGTTGCCATGGCGAAAATCCACGAATTACGGTTTGAACTGCTTGACCATCTGCCTTACTCACCAGATCTAGCCCCAAGCGACTTCTTTTTGTTCCTTCATCTAAAAATTGTGCTCAGAGGACAGAGATTTTCGTCAAATGAAGAGGCAATCACCTTCGTGAACAATTATTTTGCAGAGAAAAACCTCGAGTACTATTTGGAGGGGTTACAGAGATGGGAGCATCGCTGGGAGAAGTGTGTAGAGTTACAAGGAGACTATGTTGAAAAATAAAAACAAATTTCTGAAAAAATGTCTTGTATCTTTGTTAGTTCGGAAACTTTTCAGACCACCCTCGTAAATTTTAAATGAAACATAAAATGTAATGTTCAAGTCAATTTTGATATGTAAGAAGCAAGACGTACAATTTTCAAGAATCACTATCAAAAAGCAGTTTAAGTGTGTATAGTTTAAAAGATAACTGAAAGTTAAATATCTTTTCAAAAATAATTTTTTGTCAGAAGCTTGAATTGTTATTTGTATTTGTTTGCATAATGAAATGGATTACATATTGGATTTTGCTTTGTAGAACCCTGACAAAACTTTACCCTCAGAAATTTATTTGTTTATTTCCTACAGGCTTAAACTCGTTCTCCGTTACAGAACACAAGAACATACTTCTCACCACACTTTCATTTTAAAACATACTTTTAATTTCTTTCAACTTATATTTCATTTTTTTTTATGATTTGAATAATATTACAGCTATTGTCTTGTCTTTTATTAGTATTTACGATATCTCTCTTATTTAAGGTATGGTATCATTGGACCTAAGATACCCAGGAAATCTTTACCTCCCCACAGCAGTCCCTTGGCTCCCAAACAGGCTCTGAATTTCTTGGATCTTAGAGATATTGCCATTCCAATGTTATTGATGCTTGGATCCTCTTTACGTTTTGATCCAGTCCTCTTATGTAAAATAGTAAGAATAGCCAAAGCTGCACTTACCTTCCACGGAGTAGAAAATGCAAAATCTTCTCCGCCCACTGCAGATTCTATTTATTACGATATTCTGTCACTTGCTGACGTGACGATACTTCCTGCTTTGTCGTACCTGGACTGTAACTGTTGCATAGCCGAAGAGGTTTGGACACTTCTAAAGCTATATCCTTATCAAGTGCGCTACTGTTTATATTCTCGCTGGAAGAATGAAACTTATTCATTGTATCCAGATTTATTGAGGAAAAGGGGTGATTCAGAGAAACAGATAAAAAATATCATGAAGAGGGTCAGCAAAGAAAACGTTAAGCCCGTTGGGCGACTCATTGGGAAGTTGACGCATTGTTCTCCAGGATTCCTTTTTGACTACGTCTTATTACAAATTCAGGTGTACAACAACCTTATTAATCCGGTAGTGGACTCCTTGAAATATCTAACGAACCTGTCGTATGATGTACTTGGCTTTTGCTTGATTGAAAGTTTAGCAAATGCAGATAAAAAACGTGTTAAGCATGATAGTACTTCAATATCAACTTGGTTGCAGAGTTTGTCAAGTTTTTGCGGAGCGGTTTATAAAAAGTATACGATTGAATTAACGGGATTGTTGCAATATGTCGCCAATCAGCTTAAGGCACAGAAAAGGTAAGATTATTGTTCATTTTTTAAATAATGCAATTTTAAATAATTCTTTAATGCACTACAAAAGTACAAATGCCAAAAATATTTATTTTTTGCAAATATGAGCCACGTCATCATAACTTGTTTTATTTTTTTGTCATCTAATTCAATAAAAACAGTCTAAATGTTAGAAAAAATAGTAACGAAATTTTCTTGTGATTTCAAAGCAATAAAAACAATTGACTTACATTTCAGAAGTGTTGTTAAATTTTCATGTAATTTGAAAATTAAATATTTAATATTTTCCAATTTTTGTAAATATCTGGGACAATGTAATTAGTTCCATATATTTAAAATATTACATGACACTATAAAGAGTATTAAATAAGTATGTTGACAAACTTCAAGGTGTGATTCTTCAAGTGATTTTGGGCCAATAATTTATATAAACACGTCCATAAGTCAATAGTTTTTGAGATACACGGTGTTGAAATTTGAAAAAAAAAACACGTAAAATATCTCGGAAAACTTTGGCTAATAATTTATCAAATTAAAGGTAAATATTTTATGAATTCGGATGTAAATATGTATAGTTGTTACAATATCAGCTGGAACCGCGGAAAAACATTTAACTCATAAACTCTACGGAATCCATAGACGTCCAGAAAAATTTTGCCTGTCTCGTCTAGATATTCTATATTCTGAGCCAACCAGAAAAATTTGGTCCCAAATTCGATTTTTTTTTTAAATTATTCGTTATCTAGAAAGCGAATTGAATTGAGAATTGAATTGAATTGAATTTAGAAACTTTTTTGTCTCTTGATATTTGTTTTGTAAAACGCAATGTTTTTGAGGAAAATGGCGAATCATGATAAGCATTCGATCACATTTTAACATTTTTCTCGAAAATATTCCGTTTTCCGCAAAAAGTATAGAGACAAAAAGTTTCTAAGTTTAATGGCTTTCTAGTGGATTGATAATTTTTAAGAAATTTAAATATACGACCAAATTTTTTTGGATCCAGATACAAGGGGGCCCACGAAAAATTGTCTTAAAGGGGTTCTCCGCCAAAAAACGTAGCACCATCAGATTCCACATGTCATAAAACCCCCATATACCAAATTTAGTGATTCTCGTACAACAGGGTTCTGAGATATAAAAAAAAAGATTATTCTTAGGGGCGGACTTCAGGGGGCTGTAACTCCGAAAGAGGGGGCCATGGCAAAAATAAAAAATATGGGTCCCCTAAATTTGTCTTAAGAATCTGTGACCAAATTTTGTTGCATGAATTTCGGGACACCCTGTATAATATTTATTTTAATAACTACTACCCTTTACTGGTTACGATATGAACAAATAATAATATTAACTAATGATTAATAATACGTATTATACCAACAAACAACACCATCAAGCACTGCTTTCCACTGCACTGGCAAAACCAAGTGAACAGCATTCGACACTAAACTAATTATAGAATACCATGCAAAAAATTATTTATGACCTAGTGGACCAATACAGGTTTGCTTTGACGACCAGGGTGCCGCCGTCGATTCTACATCGGGCGGACTGGTCTATCAATACCGGACTCGTCCATTGGCTATATGAATATAAATTATGAGACAGATTATGGCTAAAGCACGGGAAGAAATTTCAAGAGCAGTTCAAACGGTACTGTGCCTTAAGATTCACAGGTTCCAATTGATATTGTAACAACTATACACTAGTGGTAGAGCACTTTCACTGAAAACCTCGGAAATTCTGCGCTACTGGAAATTTTGAAAATTCGATCACATCCAAGAAAAAGGATTTTATTCATAAAATGGTATTTTCGATTTATTATTTTCTTTATTTTACATTACCGTTACTTATTTTTGAATTTTTTTTATAAATTATCCATAATTTTCAGCTTAAAATTACTTACAAGTTTATCCTCTTAAAAGTTTAACTTCATACTTAATTAATACCGTATATGGTATGTTTATGCTACAATCTTGTAAAATTAAAATTTGTTATTTAGTTTGGATCTATTAATTCTGAAAGAAGTCGTTCAAAAAATGGCCGGTGTTGATGCTGCAGAAGATTTGACTATAGATCAGTTAAGTGCAATGGCCGGCGGGGAACTTCTTAAAGCAGAGGTAATTTCGATTCTCTGTAAAAAAAAGACAATCTTAACTTGTCACTGTTTCTAGGCTGGATATTTTAGTCAGGTTCGAAACACAAAAAAATCTTCATTGAGACTAAAAGAAGCAATGTCGGAGCAAGATTTAGCCGTTGCTTTGTGTTTGTTGATGGCACAACAGAACTATTGTGTTGTATACAGGGAGACTCAAAAAAGCCATCTGAAACTGGTAGGCAAACTTTCAGACCAATGTCAGGATACTTTGGTTCAGTTTGGGACGTTTTTGGGATCCACTTTGTCCGTGGACGAATATATAAATAAATTACCCTCTATTCAGTGCATGCTGACTGAATACCATATACCAAGTGAGGTGGCATTTTTCTTGGCTAGGCCTATGTTCAACCATGCTATTAATGTAAGTATTGCTTAAACAGAAAATAAACTTTTGTTGTAATATGTATTGTACTAAAAGCTAATTTTTTTTTAGCAAAAGTACGATCAGTTAAGGAAAAGTGACCCGAATTACAAAAAGATGTCCAGTTCATTGAAAAATCAAAAATATTACGAAGCCGTAGTAGAAGTAATGGAACCAGTTCATAAATCTTTGGTACCGTTACATTCTCCGAGGACTTGGGAAGATATAACACCTCAATTCCTCGCAACATTTTGGTCGTTAACGATGTATGATCTTTTTGTACCCGAAGAGACTTACCAACAAGTTATCAACAAGACAAAACAACAATCGTTGGGTGTGATGGATTCAGGTACCAAAGGAAAAAAGGAACAAGAAAGATACCAAACGTTAGTTGAAAAATTGCAAGACGAAAAGAAAAAACAAAGCGAGCATGTCGACAAGATCATGTATAGGTTAAAGCAGGAAAAAGATCAGTGGTTTTTGTCAAGAGCTGTTAAAACCGCCAAGAATGAGACCATTACTAGATTCCTCCAACTTTGTCTGTTTCCTAGGTGCACGTTTACGCAAATCGATGCTCTGTATTGCGCAAAATTCGTTCATACCATTCACATGCTCAAGACTCCCAATTTTTCGACGCTACTTTGTTATGATCGGGTAAGTTTCTTTTATATTGAAAAAAATATACTTATTATTTTTGCCTATCAGAGATCAACTATTTTATGTCATTATTTATTAAATTTATGATAAGTAGTTATCGATTTAGGCACAAAACTTCCAATAACTTAATACGTGCAGATAATACAAATTTAAATAATATAATATGACGTAAAAATTGAAATACAAGGCATATCCATAAAATAAGACTACTGAGACTATGTTGTTCTGTGGCTTTTGTTTTCGACGAAGTTGGCAAGCAAGAGGAGAATGCTTGCTCATTTGTCTCAGTCAGTTGAGAACTGTTGTTGTAGTGGCATATTGAAATGAGTGCCGCTATTCCGGCGAAAGATTTTTTTGACGAAGGTATCAGGAAGCCCTTCCCTCGCCTCACAAAAAAAAATTTTATTTGATGTACCTTTCTGAATATGTAAATTTTTCATAAATATACTGCAGTTTCTGTATTTAAAAAATTGAGTACTCTTACTTTGTGGATGTTCCTCGTAGTTTAAGGGAAGAAATGTTAAATACATATTTTTAATGTTTTTCAGTTGTTCTGTGATATCACATATTCAATTACATCGTGTACCGAAAACGAAGCAATGCGTTACGGCAGATTTCTCTATGCCATGCTAGAAACAGTTATGAGGTGGCATAAATCAAAAGAAACCTTCGAGAAAGAATGTGCAAATTACCCCGGTTTCGTAACAAAGTATAGAGTCAGTAATCAGCACGCCGATAATTTGGATAACGTTGGGTATGAAAATTACCGTCATGTTTGCCATAAGTGGCATTATAAACTAGCTAAAGCGATGGTGACTTGTTTGGAATCGAAAGACTACGTTCAGATAAGAAATGCTCTTATAATCCTTATCAAAATCATCTTGTACTTCCCAGTGCTTATTAAACTCAGTCAGTTCATTGAGAAGAGAATAGAGAAGGTACGAGACGAGGAGAAGAATAACAGACAGGATCTCTTTACGTTATCCAGCAGTTATTTGGGCCTTCTGAAACAGAGGATGACCAGCGGGCACATGATGAAGGAAGGGGACTTTCATATACCTGTCGAGAAGGAAAAGGTAAGCAGATTTAAGAAAATGTATAGAAAATAAAATAAAGTGTAGTTTTGTTTTATTTTTTTTTTGCAGGTGCATAGTTCTGTTTTTATAATTTTTATTTAATTTTTTTTGCAGATCCTGAAAAATCACGAGAACAAAACAGATGCCAACAAGCATAATGGGGATACAAAAGGTAGTTTTCATTTTTATTAAAAGATGTGGTTTGAGATTAAAATATCAAATTTACAGATGATGCGGCAAAGGAAAAGTTGGAAAAGAAACAATCGCGTCAGCCAACCGAAGACCTTAAGCAGCCGTCAAAGAGTCAAAGTACAAATGTTGATTTTAATAGGTAAGTTGCTTTTATTTTTTTTATTTGTCATATGTTAATAGCGTAATTTAGTCCTAAGGAAAGAAACGAAAAGAATTATAAGGAGGAGCCAAAAGAGAAATACAGGGCTGAGAAACGTGAGGAATTTGAGAAAGAACGCGATAGAGACAAACGGAGGGAGAGAAAAGAGGAGAAATTGAATGCTAATAAAGAAGATAGACACGACAGACAGTATAATAGAGTAAGTATCTATATTATTTATTACACTTCTTTTTTCTTTGTTTTATATTGAGAAAGTAAATTAGTTCTTTCAGTATTGAGAACTGTCAGTTATTCTTTATCAAATTACATTAAATGAAAACAACAATGTCAAATGTAACAGTCGTAGTACAAGAGTTAAATTATTGCGGTATAGATACCTTTAATAATAATTTCAGATCGCAAAACTACTGATTTCATAAAATAAGTCAGCCGATTGGAACTATTAAAACAACTGTATATTTTTTTTATTATGTTTTTTTCGCATTATATGTTGCAAACGTTCTCACTTTTGATTTTGTTGTCAGGACGAGAGGTACATAGAAATGGTTAGCCCAAAGGAAGACGTGAGATATTCTAGTGAGAGGCAAGTTGATAGATATTATGATGAACGAGGCGGTCATTACTATAGAGAAATTAGAGAAGAAAGAGAGACGGGTTTGGGAGGAAATGGGAATTTGGGAAGGCACAGTCAAGAACCCGAACCCGATAGAGGTAGGCAAAACCTTTAAATAATAAAAATTATTTCACCCGATAGAAATCTGAACACTTTTTTCTGCAATTATAACACATGTTTGTGCAAAGTATTTATTTTTTTCACTGGAATTATTTTATTGCTATGTGCAAAAGTATTATTTTCAAATTCATTGATGAGGCGCAATGTGAGTCCAATTAGCATGGTTTGTGTGAAAAATTGGGGCCCTTGTTCAGTTTAAATAAATATCACATTATTCACTAAAATCCAACCATATTAAAGTGGCCAGATTTAGCTGTAAAAAAATACATATATGGATATACAGGGTGTTTTTTTAAATGGAGTAGCACAAGTGGTACTATTGAATCTACAGCTAAAAAGTACGCATTTTGCATAAAAATGGCCATAGTAAAATGTTCACTCTTTGAGAAAAACAGCCACTCAAAATTTCCAAAACAAATATGGAATAGCAGCTGTATTTTGAAAAGCAAAAAAAAGATTCAAGTGTCAAGTTTTACAAATTTTTTTGTTAATGTTTATAGATTAAGTAAAATCAATGGCTGATCACAAATTGATGCAGGAAGATTTAAACAGATTACAGGTGTAAATTTAGTATGACATTAAATATAAAAAAAATCCATCACATTACTTTTTATTTTTATAAAACAAATAAGGAAATTAAGAGTTTTCATAAATGATTACAAGCCATGTGTCTGCCGAGCTTAGGCAACCAATATTGCAACTAAAAATTTCAAAAATCGTTTACAATGAACAATAACAAACCTTCATAGATCCAATTCGTAAGTCCATCTAAATTATTGGCGTTCATTATTCTAAGTAGCATTAAACTTTCATTCGATTCTGTTAAATAAAAGTTGGTAAATTATATAAATATTTCACCAGTTTCCCCTAATAATTCTGACTCTGCCCCCATATCATTTGTATAACTTTATGCCATCGATATAAGGGAATAAAAAACTCCATAAGAAGTGCGCAAAGCCTGCGGTTTTAAGCTCTCCTTGACTATTGGTTTACTGTTTCTGTCTTGCATTAGGAATTTGGGGACAACGTACGTCTAAGATATGTACATATGGAAGATAGAATACTGAACAATAATTACGTTTTTGATTTATTGCGATGGCATAAAGGGTATAAGCCACGGCCTGGAATTGACAGCAATGTTGCCATACGTACAGTAATTACCCTATTTGTACGATATTTTTTTACAAGAATGATAAGAAGTTTTGAGACCATACTAAAGTATTCCAATTTTATTACAAATTATTTATAACCTGTAAAATAAATTGAGTGGAAATTTTTAAGCAAAATAATGAATTATTTTCAAATGCTTATTAAATAAAGCTTATTATTATTTAATAAAGTGTTCAAACAAACCACCTGCTTGAGCTTCACAATACCCTAATCTGTCTTAAAATTCTTGACGAACATTTGACAAAATTTCAGGAGTAACTGATCCTAAAATATTTCTAATTTTAAGCCGTAATTCGTACAAATTTGTGGCTCTGTGGAAATAAGCCTTTCAGGAAAAGTTTGTTCCAAATAATATTGAACTGGCCTTGCGTTGTGTGCAGGACATCCGTCTTGCTGAAACCAAATTTCCTCAAAATTTACATCCAAGTTTTGTACAGCTGGTACAACACTATTTTGTAATAAATGCAAATATCTCTCAACATTTAAGTTACCATCAATAAAAAAGTGACCCACAAACATTTACCTTTTGATGGTACTGCATTCTTAATAGTATACTTAAATGATTGATTTCCCGGGACCAATGTTGGACCACTGAAGGATTATGACGGCCAAGTAGGGAAAAAGATGATTCATCTGTAAATAAAATCTCCCTAGCAAATTCATTATTTTCATCTATTTTTTCCTTAATGGATTCCAAAACTCCATATGCCTTATTTGATCACCAGGAATAATTTCTTGAGAAGTTTGCATTTTATAGGCTTTGGAACCATTCTTTTTTTAAGATGGGACGAACTGTACGACTTGGAATGTCAAGTTCTTCGGAAATTTGGGAGGAAGAACATGACTCACTTCCATAAAAGCACAGACATTAACCTCTTTTTCTCCTTGCTTCAGGAATTTGACGAGGTTCCTGATTGCTACATTTCGTTCACCGATTAACACATCTACACTCCTTAAACTTATGAAAAATATTCATAACAGTTCTAGCAGTGGGGACTGGTTCGTCGGGGTATGAAAATATAAATCGACCAACAATTTCCTCTGTATTTTCTGCCCAACAATACCATTTAATAATATTAATTTTTTGTTCGACACGCACAAAAGTTTGAGTGGAATAGTAATAAAAATAAACAAACATCAAAGCGCTTTAGGTATTCGATCGGTTCACAAAAAATGCAACATGGCACGTGCGCTCCCACAGCCAACCAATTACGAGAGTCCGAGTTGCAGCCTCGATGATATATGTCATGTCTGACGCCTTCCACCCGAAGTTGATTGGGGAGATGCGTGTAATTTACTTAGTCTATGCGAAAGAATTACCTGGCCAGACCTGTATAATGTAATTAGATCCATTAGATACTTGTCCAGTAGTAGTCCAGTTAGAACTATCTGAGGCAATAAAACATCGTAAATCTTATAATTCCAATCTGCTTATACAGATATTTAAGGGATGACCATCGGACCATCCTGAAAGCTTCGAAATAGCTGACTACAGTATTAATACTCCACTAAAAAAACATTCTGTATTACTTACTTTTTAAAATTAAAAGTATTCAATATAAGTTTAATTATTGGTTTAAAAAATTACTAAAAAATATTCTAATGATGTAATTATAAATTTTGCATAAATAAAATGTCGGGTAGGACTGAAAGTTGGAATTACTATAATAAATATAAATAATCCAAAAATACAATATATAAAAAGATATGAAAGAATATTTATCAGATACAATTTAATGGGTTAATGATTTAATCAGAAACTGTAAGAAATAATTTTTGTTTCAGATGTAAAAAGAAGAAAAGTCGACACACCTTCCAAGGTTAGTATCGGCGTGACGTAACAGCGATGCAGATTTCAGGGCTGCACATCCCTATTGTGTTCAACTTTGGGAGATTGGGCTGAATTATTTTAATCTACTAAAAAATACGTGAAACCGGGTGTTACGAACTCTCTAGTGATTAGTGAAGCGAAAAACATTCCATTACAGAGGTGTCGATACGTCTGTAATAATCTTAGGAGGAAGACGGCAACCAATTTTCATCGATAATCCTTAAACCTTATTGCTGCATTTCATCTCGATAATCTCATATCTTTTCCGAAGTTAAATTTGAGGGATTTATTTTAATACGCAAGCACTGTGGTCGTCAAATATTGCAGCCGTACTTTTATATATTTTAGCATCCAAATATTTTATTTATATTGCCAAATGTTAAAAAAAAACTGCATCAAACTAGAAAAACAAAACAAGGAGGAATTTTTAACTGTTAATAACAATTAATTTGTAAATTACGTCAACCGACGTGAGGAGGAGGAAGAAGTTATTTATTAGAATATATTTTTTATTTAAAATGCAAAGGAATTCTGAAATCCATGCGCAGAAGTTGGAGAGATCAATTTTTTATTTGAATGTAATATTTTTTTATATCGAAACAACTCGCTATCCAGGAATTTGAGAAGAAGAGGTGTTTATTTTTCCCCAACGAATTGAGCTATTTCTTCGAGAGTATTCCCAGTAATTAAGAATCATATAATGATCCATTCTTCATTTTGTTCGAAGATCCCTACGTTATCTCATCACAGATGAAAATTTTGGAGTTAAAGATGACAGCAAAACATCTTTGCTCCATTTCCAAGGAACGCAACTGCTTTTGAGTGTGCAAGGAATTAGATGAAGGCAAAAATAATTTGTAGTGTACGAGGCGTACAGTCACCTGAAACATTTGAACGAAAAAGGAAAAAGTAAACGATGCTAATTTGATAAATTGATAGGTCTAAATGCTAGAAAATTTATGAAATGAAAGGAGCGAATGAATCAATAAAATGAAAACATTTAAGATCACCATTAAAAGATAATAGTAATTAATGAAAAATAAGTTACAACGAAAGACAAGAAAATTTATAAATGCAGAGCAAGAAGATTCTGCAAGAACACATATAAGAGAAAGAATACATTAAAACTGAAACAATCGAGGATCAATCCATGTTAAGGCAGGAGTAAGGCAGAAATATTCTTTTTACGACTATTTGCGGAGATCCGGACTGAAGAATACGTTCCTCGATGGAGATTTGAGTGCGTTTTGTGAATTAAGTGAAAGACTTAGTAGAGGACAGTCAGTCAGATCTCAGCCCAATCTTCCGACTTGTAAAATATCTTGATGGGGAAGGGAAGGCCAGTAAAGGTAGGTATGTAGATTTAAGGCGCTTTACGATTATTTAATTTGGAAGAAAATATTACAGAAGAAACAATCATATGCCTATTAAGATACGTTGAAAGGTCCTGGGTGTGAGATGTTGCAATAAAATAACTCATTTATTCATTTTTAGATCATTTTATAGTATTTGAATAGACAGGAAATATGCTCCTGTAAGGGGCGTTCAGATTTAAATGTTTTATTAATTGATAAAAATAAAGTCGCTTCTTTTTAATGCACTGAGGCAGTGCTCCAGTAGCTTCCATATTTATTTTTTTATTTATTTCCCATGGGCTTAAACTATTTAAGTTTAAAATATGAAATGTGTACAAAAAATAAACTTCGTTAATTTAAAATTTGATAAAAAATATATTAATAAGTTGATGGAGACACTGTGATTAGTGGTTGCGTTTCTGACGTCACATATGTATTTTCCGTAATATTAAAGATAAACAAAAAATATATATATTTGAGGGTTTCTGGAGTCAATAATAAGCTGATTTTTTCACTATTCGTGACACAGACGGCTATGGACGTTCCTCTATTATAAGGAAAAAAACAAAGAAAAGATTGTAGAAATATATTTAGTGAAAAGTATAAGGAAAATAACAAATTATTATAAATGCCAGAGTTTTTGGACGAGCTGTAGCTAAAAGGTTTACACCATAGGCATGTAACCTGAGGGGTTATTTCTTTAATTATCTATCTACCGTTATGACCAGTATCATACGAGTCTGGATTTCAAAAGAGTTTACTATTTAATTCTCGAAAGGGAGTTTATAATTATCATTACACTTTAATTAATACGTGGGAACTTAGAAATGTTGTAGGTACGTACAGAGAATGAATTTCAGACACTTACCGTACATCGTTCATGTAGAATGTAATCCAGTGGTTGGTTGTATGGGGGTGGCACTTAAGTCGGAAGAACAAGAAAACACCAAAACTTTCCAGAAAGGTTTTAATAACAATAAAAATAAAACAAACAAAATAAGGACACAACGGGCTCGAACAACATTATTAATTTATTTATTTATACGCGACAACGTACCAAGATCCAGGGAATGAGCGATCCATAGCAAAATTTGGAATGCCTATCTATTGTTAAATTAACCCGAGACTCTAAAACTAAGTAGACTGCTCAATGTGGAACCCAACGAAAGACTGTCTGTTAATAGTTATCTAATAGACTGAATTTATATTTACATAAATAATTCTGTGACTAACTGGACTTGCAAACCCTAGCCTTCCTCTAGTCACTCCGTGTAGCAATAGGGGATGGACTAGTCGATCTCATTTAATCTATTCTTATAGATTGGAAAATCCGCCTAAAAACCAGCTATTTGATCTATTATTATTTTTCTTACAACTTCTCACAACTTATTCTTGGAATTCTTACGTTCTTTGGAATGCATTTCGTGTGTTATTTGAAATATCGATTTTTCTCTTTATACAAGGTGCTCAACACATGGCCCCGACAGTCCAAGAAAACTTGTTAAAAAGTATTGCTAAATTTCATGAGGCCTTCTCCGAAAGACGGCCAAGACATTAGTGTTTGTCAGTAGAAGATTCATAACGTCATCATTCCATATTTTCCGAAAAACATCTATTGGAGACATATTTTCTATACTGTCAATTTTTATTCCATAAAGAGTAGCATCAACATTAAAATTTGGAATTTCGTTCTGTATCTCATCCCAAATGTTTTCATTTTCAATATTTTCTGATAAATTTTCATTTTCATCTTCGTTCAGGATCTTGGTTTATATTATCACCATTAGAGTTGCACTGAAACAATATGCAGGCTGGCATACACTTGTACTAGATCGGTATACATCGTTTGCTTCCGAACTTCCCCACACCGTGACATGGACGTCTGTCAACTGCTTGTAGTCGAATTCATGTGCTTAATGTGACACTTAAAGAAAATTATATGTTATTTCGACGTCTGGGAAGGTTACGGTCGTAGAATATACACTTTAGTACGTGTATAGACATTGTAAATTGGAGATGCCACAAAACGCACAATGGTTTCAACGGCTATAGACGTCGGTGTCCGTCAACGTGTTAACAGTTACAGTACATAAACTAACAAAAAAAAAAACATTAAACAATAATGTAAATTAAATTTCAAGTTGTTTTAGTATACAGGTGTAATTTTAAGTAGAGGTTATATTTATACAGAAGCTTACTTTGACCTTTAGACACACGTAAAAATAGTTTATTTTTTCAAATTTCGTGGTTAAACCTTTTTTTAGTAATTTTCATACCCCACCGCTGGAGAAGCTAGTGTAACCTCAAATACCAGCACGCTTTAGTCGCAGGGCTTGCACAATTCCACACCATTTGTCACGAGTTACTTTGTATGTATGTATTTGTAATGCATAAATATTGCAGTGGCGGCGTACACAAGTATTAAAGTGCATTTTAAAAAACTAATTATAATGCGACTATTTATTTGATTAAAAAAAAAAAGAATTTTGGATTCGTATTCAAGAGGACAACACGTATTATTGCTCCTAAAAAACTGGCCTCCACTTAAAGTTACACCCTGTATAACAAAAAAAAAATATTTAGCAGTCCATCCTTGCTTCCATGACTTCTTCATTAGAATAAATGGGTTTCCATAAAAAATATAATGAGTTCACTTCTGCTTCTCATACTTGGCAAATACGACACACATTGTATCCTGAAGGCAGAACGGTTAGATCAAGTTACTGCTTGTTTCAGGTATATAAAAGTTCGGCGTCTATTGTTTTATGCATAATTTAAATTTGAACGCTTCTTGTATTTTTAATAGTAAATGTGTAATTTTCAAGTTAAAAAGTTGATTATGTCAATTTAAAATTTTGTATATATGCAGCAAACCCATAAGATTTGGAAAACACCCAGGACAAATTTACTGTATACACGAAATTTAAATCCTTTTCAAAATGTAACTCATTCTATTTTTAATTTCAGGTATAGTTTATCCACTGTCAACTGAACATAGCCCGATCTTATATATCGATCGATCGACACCTTTAGATACAATCATATTCAAAAATATTCTATTCTGCTATTTCATTTGAAATTGGAAAAACTATACCTGAGCATTGAACATTAAATGTAATGGAATTCAGTGCCTGCTTAAAGATCTTGAAATAACTATTATTTATGCAGTATATATATACCCATATATGAACCAATCAGAGGCTAAAAACAATGCAGTTTTTAAAGTATTCCTCTTAATAAATACCAGTTTAAATTTATTTTAAATGAAAGTACCTATAGCAATAATTCAAAGACCTGCTTAAAGAAATTTTGTTAGGGCAAAGTAAATATATATTATGAAGTTAATTGCCTATAAAATTATAATGGGATGTTGAATAAATTCTTATTGTTTTTCGTGAAAACTAATGCTTTATTTAAAAAAATTTGTAAAAAACGTGTCACTGGCAGCATTTTAATTTAACGTCGGAAAAATAACACTTCTTTTGAGGCTATCCAAGACTTGACCCATTTTTCGCATCTTCGTAAAAATGGAAGTGTTGTTTAGCCAGGCCTTGCGCCATGGATCGGAACAAGTAAGGGGCAATGTCTGGTGAATATGGCGGGTGGGGTAGGAATTTCCATTTAAGTGTTTTCA